TGTGTGTGTGTGTGTGTGTGTGTGTGTGTGTGTGTGTGTGTGTGTGTAGCTTGGAGATGTTTCCCAATGGCCTCTCTTTGCATTTTTAATCATCTGGAAGTTTTGTTATTAATATTTCTAATTATTTCTTACAAATTGTCTCCTTTTCTTGTTCTTCTTTCTTTCGCTCCTCTCTAATTCCTTCTTTTAGGGGCCTCTGCACTAAGACTATGAAGTTTGTTTGGAATGGAGCTGTCCAAGGTAGTTAGAATATTTGCAAATATAGTTTCTTTTTTTTTCAGGTTCTATTTCTTTTTAATTTATGGAATAAAACAAGCATTTCCATAACATAGAACAATAAAAAGATGATTACATATGAAATTGCAAATCTACTATCTACAACTTGCTATTCCCCCCAAATATACAACAAAATCATCATGTAAATTTCTTTTTTTCCTTTTTTTTCCTCCCTGTCTCCCCTTCCACCCTAGAGATAGCTACCATTAGACATACTGCTCCAGGGTCTTATTGATTGAGTTAATTTTTAACAAATCATAAGATACAAAGGAGATGTGGATGTTTTCCTCTTGAGTTCAAGCCGAGCTTGTCAGGTTTGTACCAGCTTACTAGGGCAGAATGAGGCTCTGACCATTAAGTTACATGGTAACAAATGATGCTGAGTAGGTGTGTAGGAGCATTAGTGGACCATTCCTAGTATCAGAGAGGATTATTTGAGGTATCAAGAAGAAGAAAGTTTCAGATCTCTTAGGGTGAATTTGAGCGAGATTTAGTGCCTCAGCTCACATTAAATGGCACGAGAATGACTAGAGAAGACAATGTACCAAAGTATATAATTTAACTCAGATAATTATTGGATCAACTATTGAACTGAATTATTGAATCCATAAAATATGCTTCTTTTTGCATCTGCAGAACTTAAGTATTTGGGGGCTATCCTTTTCTGCTAGGATAATCTTTGATAATCTTTGGGGGCTATCCTTTTCTGCTAGGATAATCCTGGGATTGGATGTTTTTAAGGGTGTTAAATGGAATATAGAATGGAATTATTCACAGATACTGCCTTTGGATATTAATGGGAAAACTGGAATTTGATGATTCTCAGTGAAGTACTAGAGCACAAAATATGTTTATTGTCACCTCTTGGTATGCAAAAGATTATTTATTTTTATTTGACATATAAATATATAAATAAGTCACTTATCTTTCTGCCCTTTGGTTTTGTCTTTTATATGAAAAGATTGGACTAGGTGGTTTCTAAGGTCTTTTCTAGCTCAATATCAATATAGGTATGAACCCACTATTTTCAGCCTATCTAGATCTCCATTAAAACCCCATTCTCATGCCTCATCTTGGCTTGCAGGTTCTGGAAGCCTACGATAGTGGACTGCATGCTCAGATATGTCCTATTAAACTGGAAAGGTTTCAAATATTGCTTGGGTGATTTCATTTCACAAGGGCCAGGCTAAGAACTTCAGAGAAGCCTGCTACCAGACTGTCACATTAAAAGATAATATTTTTGGGAACCTGTTGGAAATCTAGAATGGTAATGAGTTTGGAGATCAGGCTGTATCAGATAAGGCAGAGGAAGAAGAGAAGCCTGAGGTGGTGCACAAGTTTCATCTTCACGTATTTTAAGGACTGTCATGAGGAAGAGACTTGCTCTGTTTGGCCCCAGATGGTGGAACTAGGAGCAATGGATGGCGAGCTTCAAAAAGATGAACTTCATTATGATGTAAGGAAAGAATTGCTAACAATTTTCCAAAAAGAGAATAGAGGTCTTCAACGAAAGGCTGGATGACTACTTTTTGGAGAATATTGAAAGAGGGATTCTTGTTAGGGTATAGGTTGGACATGATGGGCTCTGAGCTTCCTTGCAGATCTCAGATCCCATGTTTCTTTGATACCATAATCACTTTATATAGAGAAAGGTGCCATCATTGCAAAGACCTCAAGAATAGAGAGCATTGGCTGTGTAGAACTCTCTTTGACCTTTGTATAACTCAATTCTTGGTGACAAAAATTCAAGGAAAGCACACTCATTTGAAAAGCAGTTCCATTCACATTAACATGTAGGTACAGAGCTGGATGTGGGTGTCACAGAAGTATTTTCTAACAAAGCTGGTGGAATGGATTTCAAAATGGCCCTAGATGAAAAACTATGAAAGGAATGCATTCATGCTATCATCATGAATTGGTGCTAAAAGCTAAAGTGGTTGATCTCATTTCAATAAGCTTCTCAGGTCAGAGTCAGATTTCTTCTCCCTTGACAACCGTGCTACTAATTAGGTTTTGTCCTTGAAAGTTTTTTCTAACAACAGGCATTAAGGGAATAGTTCAGTAACTATTGACTGTTCCTGAACCATAGGAACTATAAAAATATTGAATTAAAATAGGGTATTCAACATAAGGAAGTCACTAGAAACCCTAATATTTTATGCTTTTATGTCATGTACAGACAAATGTCAGGCAGTAACAAAATATGAAATATATTTATTCAGTGAGATAGTTTTGGGGTTAGAGTTCTAACTCTAATTTTATATATATTAGACCTAAAAAACTAATGTTGGATTGTCGATTAACTTTAAAATTCAGGTTTTTTGGAGAGTGATTTGACTTTTGAAGGTGAAAATCAATTTCCCTTGAAAAATTTACAGGGAACAACATAATATTGATTTGGGAAGAGATGGTACTGTGCTCTCAGTGGTATATGGAATGGTGGACTGCACTTTTAGACAGTTATTCATGTTCTCAGTTCCTCCCTGATAACTTATCAGTGATGGCATTACTGGGAGGATTCTGTAGTCAAAGTGAGGGTCACTGAGCACGTACCCTACCCACTCACTGTGGAATATCGGTGTGTGTGCATGTGTTTGTACACAGATATATGTATGTATATACTATATACACACTGTAGTACAGCATATCATAGTATGGTGTATGGCATTTGTTACTGCCTATTAACCAATCAGTGGTACTAATCATCCTCAATCTTAATTTCATTCCTAATATTCATTTGCAAAGTGGCGGAAAAGAGGATTAATTCAGACCTTTGAGGCGGAGGGGACAGTCAAGGAAATTGTAATTCATCAATTCTTTTCTTTAGAAGGCAATAGCTTTATCAACCATAGCAAAGACTACCTTTTCCCAAGGATGAATGTACAAATATATTACATATCCTCATTCCCAATTTAGCTAAAATTCTAACATTTGGCCTCTTTTATGAGAAAGAATAATGGGAATTGGATTCTTACCGTCTGTTTTCTTGGAGTCATTGCCAGCGTTGGACTGATCCTTCTTGTCTGTCTTGTTTTTCTCATCACCTGAAAGTGACAGATCAGCAGTGTAAACAGGCTGCTAAGGAAGGAGTTAGAAATCACACTAGACCTATCAAGATGGGGGTGGGGGGAATGAGAACAGGTAGTAATACATTATAAATGAGGAACCGCACAGAAGAAGTGGCAGAATGGATGTCATCAAAGAAATAGATGGATGGAAAAGATAGGCCAGAGAAAGAATGTGTGTGTGTGTGTGTGTGTGTGTGTGTGAGAGAGAGAGAGAGAGAGAGAGAATGTGAACCAATGGACAGATCATTAAGTCTTCTTGTATTTTTGCAATGAATAAGTGAAATAGCATTTATCAAGCACTTAATATGTGCCCATCACTGTGCTAAGTACAGGGGGTGCAAAATAACCAAGCAAGACATTCCTGGCCCTCGAGAAGTTTATATCTAACAAGGGACAATAGCATTCGAAGGGGAATCAGAATTGGAAAGGGATGGGGGGGGTTGCCAAGAAATTGCCAAGAAGGGCCATGGTAGATTGGTTCCAGGCAAGGTAAAGTTAGAGAAACTACTGAAGAGCCCCGCATGTTAGTGAATCCTCCAAGGCAAATTTGTGGAAAGACACAGACAAGAGCAGCAGAGGATGAGAAGGCCTGGGGAGATTGTGACACAGACAGGGATATGCTGGAGCCAGTTCAAACTGGCTTACATAAACAAAAAGTTAAATTTTTCAGTGTGAGCCTTTATACCTTGAAAATTGGTAAACAATACAAACTGTGGCTTCATATGTTGTTTTGTTGATTGTTTAGACTTAAAAAAAGAAGTGAAAGAAAATTTCTCTTAAGAAAAAATGAAGAAAATGTTACTAATGCAGATAAAATTCAAAAGTGTGTCATGCTGTACATGTTCTTTTGGAGAGCAGGCTGTTACATATTTACCAGTATACCACTGGCTACACATCACTGGAAACTGGACCCACATTGGACCTATTGAAATATTGGAGTATTGGGGCAGCTCAGTGGCACAGTGGATAGAGCACCAGCCCAGGACTCAGGAGGACCTGAGTTCAAATCCAACCTCAGACACATAATACCTCCTAGCTTTGTGACTCTGGGCAAGTCAACCCCAATTGCCTCACAGAAAAAAGAAAAGAAAAGAAATACTGGTGTATCAAAGTGGCTTGCTTGAGAATAAATACCTTTTGCCACTCAATCTGTTGCCAGTTAGAATTTGAGTGAATATCCAGAGATGTAATGAATAAAACTCATTGATTAGGCCCATGAAAATGTTTCCTATTTTAACAAAATTACACTTCTATCCTAATGTTTCAGATAAATCTAGTTCCTTCACTCCAAATGTTTGAAAATACCTCTTCTTCCATTGACCATAGGCTCATAGATCTAGAGTTGAGAGAGACCTTTGAGATCATGTAATCTGGTCTCTTCTTTTGTACACAGGAAGAGCCCGAAGGACAGTGAGGTTAGGTGACTTCTCAAGGTCACTTAATTTGTAAGTAGCAAGGCCAGGATTTAATGCCAAACCTTCTGAATGCAAAGGCAACACTAAGCCATAGCATCAGTAAGATCCTGCCCCCAGACTGATGGTTGTCAAGGAGTAAGATTTCTTTCACAGACTTTAAAGGGTCATCTTCTATAACAGAGTAAAAAAGAGGCTTTATGATGCCAAGTATGTCAATAACCAGTCACCTTCAGTCACATGGGGATCTATGTGCATCCTAGCAGCTGGTGGTGAACTAAGCTTGTTTTTGTCCCCCCAATGATGATCTTTGAAATTCAACCCAGAAAATGCTAAAATGAATTCACTGGAAAAGTGGCATATGACTTCTTGATACAATCAATCCTCAACATTTATGTGATTTGAAGCATTCATATGATTTTATTAATAATCTCATTTTCACTTTCAAATTGGCAACTGTGCACATTGGTGGGTATACACAGTAGAGAAAAAATGTGAGACACAAGGCATGCAGCTGGTGTCCTACTAGGTGCTTCACTGGTCTTATTCACCCTACCATTGTTAAAAGCTCCCCTGTGCATTTGTTGCATGTTTTCATTGTTTGCCTTTAAAATTCAAGTTTTACAATGCAATTATGCCTCCAAAGCATAGTGCAAGTCTAAGTGCAAGTCTGCAAAGTCAGTGATGTGGCTTAGTAAGAAAATAAAGGGGTTAGATAAACTTCAGACTAGAATGTCTGCAGCTGCTGTTAGCCATGACTTAGTTGTCAATGAATCAATGATTCACTATCCACAGTATAACACCTTCACACCACCATCTGACACAGTGGAAGATAAGATTCAGGTTAAAAAGGTTTTTAATTTTAAGACTTTTATTTGCTGTACAATATTTATAAATATTACTATAGATTCCATGTGTTATGAAAAGTGAATATTGTCTGAAAATTTATTGAGATATTAGCACAAAAGGTCACTGAATTCTAGGGAGTTACTAGTGAGAAAAATGTTTTGCATGTTACCAATTTTATTTTGTGTATTGCATTTTATGGGCTATTTCATGGTTACTGTGTTAGGAAAAGTACACATTATCAGAATTAACATTTTTGTTTTAAAGAATTGTAGTATTTTCAGCAATCTCTAGAGAAAGATTATAGTTCTTAGTGGTTATGGGAACTTGACCCCCTATTTCCCATAGGTTCAATGTATCAGCATTCAGATTTTTGACTTTTGGGCTGCTTTTTAGGAACGTTACTCCTGTGAGAGTTGAGGGTTGACTGTGTGTTCATAGCACTGCAGATTTTGAGCTGCCAAAGACATTACAAGCCACCTAACCCAACACCCTCCTTTTACACATGGGGAATTTGAAATCCAAACAGGTTTGCCTCAGGTAAGAAGTGGAGCCAGGATTTGAACCAAGATCGTCTGGCTCCAAATTTGGTTCTCTTCCCACTATTACCCCCCAACCTTCTTAAATAAAATAAACAAATAAATAAATAAATAAATAAAACTTTTCCCTCAGGGGTACATGTGGAGTAATAACCATGTGAACTGTAATTGAGTAAACATAAAGATCTGAAATAGTCTTTTCATATAGTTATAAATCATTTTAATTACACCACCAGGCATGATGGTCCCAAGCCAACAATGGCTATACCAACCATTTCTCTATATTGATTTCTTTTCCCACCTCTCGTTCAATGCATACATTTTTTTAGGGGAATGACGGCCTGTGGCAATCGTCTATAATGAAAAAAGGTAAGACCTTGGCCTTTAAATGCACACTTCATGGCTCATGTTTTGCTACATGTGGCATTACTTCTTCAAATGGGCTGAAAAAGGATCACCAATTTAGAATTGGAAGATGACCTGAGAAGTCTTCTACTTCAACTCTTCCCCAATTCTCCCCCTATTTTTTTTACTGAGGCTCAGAGAAAGGAAGTGACTTACCCAGGATGGCTTAGGCAAGGTGGCAGAGGTAGAATTTGAACCCATCTCCTCTGGTTCTACATTTAATACTTCTTTCACTTCCCTACTATAGGGGAGGCCCAGAAGCAGACTTGTGCTTCTGCCAAAGGCCAGGAGTCTTCCGCTCTGCCTTTTCCTTACTAAACAAAGGAGAAAGGAGGGAAAAGGGTCCATGCCAACTAGCACCCACCAAAGTAGCCATGTCCCCCAGGCATAGGTGGAATGGCTCTCTGTGAATGTAGGGCATTCTCCCCAATGACAGTAAGTCCAACCCCACATCTTCCAGGAAGAAACCAAGAGAACTGGATAGGAATTTTCTGGATTTAATTCAAGTTTTCTGATTTAAATCTCAAGTTGATTTGAAATTGGAGAACCAGGATGAAAAGCAAAAAAGAGAAAGCTCAGAAATGTTATGTTCAGTGTGGGAATTAGGAAAGTTGACTTGAGATCATAGATTTCAAGCTACAGAGGACCTGGGAGACTGTCCAGCCCAACCACCTCATGTGGAAGATGAAGAAATCAGGGCCCAGAAAAGCAGAGGCATTTGCCTAAGGTCACACAGCTAATAAGTAACAGATCAAGCCGCGGCATCAATACACTAATGCCAAATCCAACTCTCTTGTCCAAGCTGCTTCTCTTTCTTGAATAAAGTTGTGCCAAAGAAATCAACAGTTTGGCATGTCAGATGACCTCTGGCTCTCTCTGCATGCCAATGAAGAGAATATTTGTCACGTCCACAACAATTCCAAAGGACTATGCTGAAAAATGCTATCCTCCAGAGAGAGAGAGAGCTGAGGAGCTCTGAGAAATAGATTTTCTTCTACTGTCTTTGTTTTTCTTGCTTTTCTCCCCTTTTGCAACATAGCTAATGTGGAAATATGCTTTACATGACTTCCTATGTATAATGGGTAGTGTTATTTCTTGCCTTCTTAGTGAGTATGGGAGGGGCAAGAGGGAGGGAAAGAATTTAGAACTGAAAGCAATTTTTTTCAAATAAAATTTTTCAAATAAAGTTTAAAAAACAAAAAAGACTACTTTTTTTGAAGTTAGTAACCATTTCATCACAGTATTATGTTCACAATAAAAACTTTTCCCAAAAGAAAGAGAGAATATTATTTCCTTGAGCTTTTGATCTAAAATATTCTTGGGGAAAATATCATCTCTTTAAGACAGCAGTGAAACTTACGGCATGGTTGTCATTAGCAGAAGAATAAAGGGGATCCTGGATTTCAAAACGGAAAGGACCTCTAAGGCCACTGAGTCCAGCTACACTTTATACAGAGGAAGAAATGGAAGCCCAAAATGGGTAACTGACGTACCCAGGGGCAGCATCAAGCTCTCTCTTTACTGGTGCCTTCCCCAGGTGCCTTTCTCAATACAAACCCAGGACATCTCTCACCTAAAACAAAACAACCAACACAAAAACTCCCTTGCCCATAAGGGCCCTGGGGGAGGGGCTATCTTCTGCAAACAGGAAAGCCACCTCATCCTCTGAGATAGGAGGGAAAGGGGAAAGGAGCAGAGAAGACACAGACAGGTTGCAAAGGTTGGCAGCTGGGAGACAAGGGAGCCAGTCATCACATGGTTGGCCTAGAGCAGGGAAGACCACCACCGGGGGCTATACTCCTTGAGCCAACTTGGGGCAGATACTTCTACCAACATGGGTACTTCTTGGGGTAGATAGCAAGGGCAGGGAAATAGCTGTTCTTCCCAATGCTTTTCAATCAGAATCTATTTTTAGAATATCAATGAGAAAGATGATCATGAAATTCACCCAAAGCCCTGCGTTAGGGTTTGGAGGGGAGTCCTCACCTGCCATTTCTGCTACTTTCTTGAACTTGGAAATTCTTAAAACAGCTGGACACTCAATCTCAAGGTGAGTGGAGCAAATCACACTCAGTGACACCAGCACAAGCCATAGAATTAGACATGGCCACCAACACCAAACCAGCCAGTGCTAGTAAAGTTGTGTGCCAGGCCAGAGACAGTATGTGACATGGGCAGAGAGTCAGAGGCCCTGGGTTTGAATTCCAAGTCTGCTCCTGCCTACTGTGTGACCTTGGGCAGGTCACAACCTCTCTGGGCTTCAGTTTCCTCACCTATTAAATGACAGAATTGGATTGGATGGCCTGCAAGGCTTCTTCCCGCTCTATATCTATGACTATGACCAAAAACTTTGGAAAAGATTTCTCTTCATTTGCTAAGAAGAGCTGTCTTGGTTTCAACAAGGTCTGCTGAACATAGCATCTTCTGACTGTGGTTGTCTCCTTGCCTCTGGACCAAACAAAATTGATTCACAAAGTGCTTTCCTAGCTTATAAAAGACTAAACAACAATCATATTTTCCTAGCAGTTTATTTTTTCTTAAAAGGCTGATAACGTGAAGGCTACTTTGTGTTTGTATAGTCTGTGAGAGCCATAAGCTCAACTTGCTTTTCTCCAAAGCAAAAATAAGATATTGGCCAAGAAAGAAAACTTACCATTTCATTCATTCATTCATTCATTCATTCACTCATTCATTCATAAATATCTAATACCATAAGACACTATTATGCATATTGGTATGGTAGCAGACAGGGAAGAAAAGAGACATACAAAGATGAATTAAAATCACAGACTTTCAGTTGGAATGGACTTGAGTGGTTACCACACCCAGCCCACACCTGAAAATGAATCCTCACTCCAACGTATCCACTAAGTGGTACTCCAGTCTGTGCTCTACTGCCTCCTCTGAAGAGGGAAGCATCCTCAACCCAGTGCCCATGGCACTCTCAGCAGCTCTCAGCGTGTGGATGACCGTTTCTTTCCCCTGAAACATAACCCTGCTTGGCCAAATTTTTCTTTTCCTTTATTTTTCCTGCTCCTGTTGCTTGTGGGGGACAATGGGGACGTACAGTATAGACTACAAATGCCTGGGGCAGTTCAATTATATACTGTTCATCTATTTCAAGTCTTCAGGATGGAAACAACTCAGAGGAACATGAAGAAAAAGAAATATCCAGCCATCGAGCTAAAATCTCCCTCTTTGCAACTTCAACAAAGCTTCTAGTTGTGTTTGTGTCCTATGACTCCCCTTTGCCTATTTTACTTCTCAGCCAAACTGGCCTCCTTGTTATGCTGCAAACTCAGCACCCCACGTCCCATCTCTGGGCCTTTGCACAAGCTGTAGCCTCTTCCAGGATTGCCTTCCCTCCTCAGCTCTGCCTCTTCACATACTTGGCTTCCTGCAAGGCCAAGTTCAAGCACCACTTCCTATGGAAGACTCCCCCGATCCTACTAGTTATTCCTGCTTGCTCTCCCTAACTAAATTATGTTGCCCATGCTTATCTGATTGTGTGACTTTGGGTAAGTCACTCAGACAGTCAGTCAACAAGTATTTATTAAATACTTACCACATGCCCACACCATGCTAAGTGCTGGGGTTACAAAGAAAGGCCAAAGGCAGTCCCTGCTCTCAAAGAGCTGCTGGTCGAATGGTGCAAGACACCATGCAAACAACTATGTACAAAGAAATGTAGAAAGATAAAGTGGATCTAATCAAGTGAAGGTACTTGTAGGAAGAAGTTAAGACATGATCTTCACAGACTTGCTTCCTCTGCTCTAAAATCAAGAGATTGGACAAGATGGCTTTTAAGGCACTGTCCAGCTCAAGCTCTGAGTATGTGTTGTAGCTCCCAATAGACTGTGATACCGTGGAGGGCGGGGGGTTGTTTAAAAATTTTCTCTTTATTTCCAAAGCACCTAGAACAGTGCCTTGGACACATTAGGCACTTACCAAGTGTTTGTTGAATTGCTTATGCAAAACATTATTCCTGCCTCCTTAGAGTTTATAATCTAGCAGATATGCACACTTAGTCAAATAATTTCATGGTTAGAAAAGGCAAATTTTTCCTTCAGGTGAAAAATTGTTGATGGACTACCAGAAAAGTACCCCCCAAAGTCCTATATTTTCCCCAGAAGCAAATATTTGTGCTCCTAAAGGTAGCCAACTTCACAATTTTTTTTTCTAAGCACATCAATTTCTTCTTTAAAGAAATTGTTGAGGCAGCTAGGTGGCACGGTGGATAGAGCACCGGCCCTGGATTCAGGAGGACCTGAGTTCAAATCTGGCCTCAGACACATAACACTTACTAGCTGTGTGACGCTGGGCAAGTCACGTAACCCCACTGCCTAGCCAAAACAGAACAAAAGCAAGAAATTGTTATTGACATCTCTTGTATTAACACCACCGATGCTTCCCGATGCATCCCTTCCCCTCCCTCAACTATGCTAATTTCAATAAAAATACGAGTTTTGCCATTGAGAACCTCAGAGAGGAAACCAGCAATGCCCAAAGAATGTCCATTCTCACCCGCGTGAGCCTGTTTATTGTCTCCAGATTTGTCTGCTTTGGAAGGATGTTTCCCATGGGAGTTTTCGCTTTTGTTGACTCGCCCTCCATTCGCTTGACTCTTCCCTTCTCCAGACTTTTTCTTCTCAGGCTTGCCTGATGCACCTTCTGCAGCCTGACTTTTGGCTTCCATCTGCTTTTTCTTCTCCTCGGCCTCCTGCTTGGCTTTCTCCTCTGCTTCCCTCTTGGCTTTCTCTTCTGTTCCACCCGTCAGTTACGAGAAGCACGTGATGGAGAGGATAAACGAAAGGCATCGTTATTAAGAGCCCTGCCAGTCACAGCACCCGTTCATTCTTAACAATCAATGAAGTTCATTAGAAATTCTAACGTGAAAAGGTGCTCAAGGTGGACGTTAAGGTATCTGGACCTTGTCTCATCCAGATTATTCCAGGTGTCCACAAGGCACACTGGGTCTGACCAAGCCTTAAAAGTGAGTGCTCCAGGAAGTGAGTGTCTCAAAGAAACAAACACAGAACCAGGGAACTAAAGTGGAAAAAATGAGATATTTAGAGCCAAAGGATCTGAGTTCAAATCCTAGTTCAGATTGCTATGGGAGCTAGCATGTAGCAGAGTGGATAGGGGATCTGGTTTTAAATATAGCCTCAGACACTTCCTACCTTTGTAGTAAGTCATTGAAGTTCTCTTCCTTGGGACTGATCTTTGCAAATAAGAAAGTTAGATTTGACGGCCCCCAACTCCAGTCTAGATCTAAATCTGTAATCCTATGACCTGTGGCACTTTGGTCAAGTCACTTCTCTCCTCCAGACTTCAATTTCCTCACCTTTAAAATGGGAACGTTGGACTTGCCAGTTTCTGAGGCCCCTTCCCAGAAGGAACTTCTTCATCTACCAATGCAACATCTGAAAAGGAGTCTTCTCTTGAAATGCCCTTGACAATACACTAAACATGTTACCGGTCAGCCTCCACTTGAAGATCTCTAAGGAGGGAAGCCCACTACTTCCGGAAGCAGGCAGTTCTCTCTTTCACAGTGCTGTGGACAGAGCACTGGGCCTGGAGTCAGGAAGACCAGAGTTCAGATTCCACCTCTGACACTCAGCCATGTGACCCTAGGCAATATCAGTGGCTACTGGACCATTGGAAAAGTCAAAGAGAATGCCTACTAGTTGAAAAATTTATCCTCAGTGTCATTGCATTCAAACTAATTTTACAGCCCCATGATTTCATGAGATAGTACAGTGCAGTGGATAGGGAATTGGTCTTCAAGCTAGGCAGACCTGAGTTGGAGTCCTGCCTCTGATACATCCTGCCTATCTGACCCTGGGCAAGTCATTTCACCTCTTATTTCTCAGTACTCCAAGAAATCTCAAAATCTGTGAGTTTCAGAGAAGGCACTAACCTGTATTAGTAGGCGTTCTCTACACATAAATGATACCACACGCCTAGACCCTATCCCTACAATTTCTATAATCCTGCTAAGCATTGAAAATAAGTAAGAAAAATATTCTAATAGCTAAGTCAGATCAACTTTTCTTTTTGAATTTTTTTTTAAGGCAATTGGGGTTAATTGACTTGCCCAGGGTCACACAGCTAGTAAGTGTCAAGTGTTTGGTCTGAGGCTGGATTTGAACTCAGGTCCTCCTGACTTCAGGGCTGGTGCTCTATCCACTGCACCATCTAGCTGCCCCCAGATCAGCTTCTGATGGAGAATGTAGGCTCCAAAAAGAATACTTATCATGGCTAGTGCCTTTCAAATGCCTATATGATTTATATAACTTCCAGAGCTCTTTTAGAATCTTGACTCTATCATCCAATGAGTTATTCATCCCTCCTTGTTTTGAGTCATCTTCACGTTTGATGGGCATTCTATGTCATTATCTGTATCACTGATATGAATAAAATATTAAACAGCACAGAGCCAAGCACGGATCCCTGTGGCCCTCCACTGGAGACTTCCCATCAAGCTGACATCAAAGTAATAACCATTCTCTGGCTCAGGCCATCCAATCAATTCCTAATTCTCTGGGAGGCTGGGAATGTTTCCTTCACTTTATTATGAACTCAGTGTAGGGTCTTGATGTTTACAAAAGAAAAGATCCTAAGCCTACTACATTTTCAGCCTTGGTGTTGATGTATACTAGTTATGCCTCCTCCTATAAGACAAGAACACAACTTTTCACATGAGTTAAAAAAAAAAAAAAACATGCAAAGAGAAAGAGTGGACCTTGCTGATAGAGAATGGCTAAACAAACTGTGGTACATGAACGCAGTGGAATATGACTGTGCTGTAAGGAATGATGTGTGTGACGGCTACAGAGAAGCATAGGAAGGTACATGAAACTGATGCAAAGTAAAGTAAGCAGCAGCAAGAAAATAACATGCTAGTAATTATAATAAAGTAAATAGGAATAATAAGAACAAGCAAGCAAGCAAAACTAAAGGCTGTGAAAAGACAAGGATCAAGCTTGGCTCCAAAGAGGAGATACAAGGCTGAGGAATGAAAACAGAGTAGAAAGCACCAAAAGACCAAACAAGACAGGACATGCAGAAGGTCCAGCCTTGGTTTGGGGAGGGGGGAAGTGAGGTCAGGGAGGATACTTCTCCCAGCTTTCTTTTTTCAGAGGTGGGGAACTATGGGTGTTGAACACTGCGTGCAACATCAAGCTTTTTAAATATATTGGTTAGATTTGGTTTTTTTTCTCCTTTTAAAATTTTTATCATAAAGAATGACTCTGGGAGAGAGGAAGAGATACATTGGAAAATATAGGTGACATAAAACCAAAAATATCAGTAAAACTTTTTTTTAAAAAGAGTAGGTCAGATTTGGTTGGAGTTAAGGTTGTCTTGTGGGCATTGTGCTTAGAATCTTCCTAGTGATATCAGTTACCTTTTGGAATTTTGGCCCTCCATCTCTCCCGGTTAATGTGTACCACCTCGGTCCAAGTGGCTTTAAAATTTTTATAGTCCACAGTGAGGACGGAATTGTTGATCGAGGCACTTCCTTCAGACCCAGTGCTCCGGATACTTAATCGCTTTGCATCTGACGGGCTGATGCTATTCAAGCTGTGGACAAGATAACGCAGGAACAGCAAATTAATGTTAGAAGTGTCTGCAACTAAGCCACTCCAGATGGACTCACTGTCCAACAGTTATTCCCTCAGGGAAGCATAGCTTATACACTGGTGTGGCTCTACGCAGTGTCTTAGGATAGGGTCACTTGGTTTTCCAAAACAAAATTTGGAAAGTTGGATACATATTCTGAAAAGTTTGAAAATGAGAAATTGTCTAATACATACACACTTCACTCCCTCCGCTGCCCCGGAAAGTCTCAATTCTGGACTTTTGAAGCTTTCCATTCCCCTTACCTCCTCTGGTCTATATCTTTTATGTTGTAATTTCTAATTTGGAATGAAATGGACTAATGTTTGTACCAAAGTTCTCCACTCAGCTCTGTGATCTCACCATCATGGGGGCAAACATTTCCCATTCATAACATCCAGTTGGTGACATTAACTGGCTATTCACCCCTTCTCTTCTCCCAGCTCCTCCCTAGTTCCCTAGGACTGAGAGTATCCCCTCACTCTGACGTCTGGACTCCATGATGGACCTGGGAAATCTGTATCACATTATCTTTGTGGATAGAAGGCAGGGAGGTATAAATAGCTTGGAGGTGGGGGGGCCATCCCTGATGCAACATTCTCTTCTTTTCCCATCTTTTTTTTATTCAAAATGATGTACCTGTTAAAGGGATGGCAACTCAATGTCATGGATACAAACATTTTGGAAACAGCTTTTTGGTAGACTAAAGTTCATTATGCAGGTCATCCACAGATACATAAATGCTGACATGATGAAACCCATCAAATAATGAATGAGGCTGATTAATGGAGTGGTAATATGATATAAACCCATTACTTGCAGCAATTATACAGGAAATAGTGGTGGACAGAAGCAGGCTTCTCTTTTCCTCTCCGAAATTTTAAATTGGCTCACCTGCTTCTGATAAGGTAGAGCGTATAACCCCCTCCAACATTCCCTTGTGCCTTCCCTTTCCACCTTCCTCTCCTAAGCCTTCCTCTTCTTTTTCTTCAACTCTTCTCTTCTCCTTTCTCTCCTCTACGATAAAGCCCAAAATAGATGGAAGCAGGATGGGAGGGGCTGGTATAGTCTGGAGGGTGTGATGAAGGGTCTCTCATTGCCCTCCCTCTCTTCCCCTCTTCCATTGCCTTACAATATCGGGATGGGAGGGGGAACCTGATCATTACAACTTTGTGTGTTTTAAGAAAAAAATATGAAGCAACAAACACAAACCTCCCTCCTCTCCCCCACACCAGGCATTTGTAGAAATCAAACTGTGGGCACTTATCACTGGCAGGAAATAAATTCCCAGCTTTAGTCATAAGTCAGTGTCCCCACCCAGAGCCTCATAGGGTCCATCACTGACCTTGAGCGTCTGTGCCCAGTCCCACCAGGTTGGGAGGGTTCATCAATAAGTGGAGATACAATCTTTTCAGTCATGTCGGTCAAAACAGTGAAGGTGGGCTCCACGATAAAGTCAATGAAACCTGAAGAGAAAGCAGGGTGTCCACAGATGAGTCAGGGTCACAGTCTTAGCATGCTTTCCAAGCACACAGGGGACCTTCCCTTCTTTGGAAAACAAGAACTCTAAAACCTCAGAAAGCATACACTAAGGAGTCATATTACTAATGTTATCATTATTTCTACTATCAGCATCATTATCATTGTTGGGGGTTAATTCTCACAGAAGATACCATCAAATTAATTTTAAATATAAATTCAGTTAGGAGCAAGGAGTAGAGGGTAGTGGTCAGACTTCAGATAGAGATATTATAGCAGCGAGTATCATGGAAAAATTGCTAGAGTCAGAGATCTTGGGTTCAAATACTTCATCTGGAGTCTTCACTTCCCCAGCCTAAATATCCCAGTTCCTTTAACTATTGTTATAGTCAGCCTTATGGTATAACCTATTGTCAAAAGCCTTGGGGTAATAAATGACAATTCAGTGTCTGAGCTATTCCACACATGATTGTGTCATTGGCAATTTCAATAAAGATGTTGTCTATGCCTTTACTCACTTCAGATAAATAGTCAATTTTGATGTCATTTAGTAATCATATCTGATGACTTAAACATATCTTCTTGGGGAAAAAAAAAGTGTTCATGGTGTTGATGCCTGGGGCTGTCTAAATGACACTGGCCTTTTCCCCACCTCTAATCTTGAAGTTTATACAACAATGGATCCATGATCTTGACTTACTTCCTCCAACAGGTGGAACACAACCCATTCATACCTTCTCACCAGTGAGTTTTTGCCCATAAACCCTCTACATGAAGCCAATGAGGTCTTCTTCTAGGTTGTAGAGGGTGAAAGTATAAAACGTGAGTACCTCACGCCACATGATCAGCATTTCCCAATCTTACTTTTCTTAGACATATTTCATGTTACTTCTTGCATGTGAATCATCATTGTTAATATGCTTCAGCTTATTATTCTCAGCAATTATCTCTTAATTGTCCTTTGGGTCACTAATAATTTTGACTAATTGGAGACTACGATATTGATCGTTTTGCACCCAAGTGCAAAAATCAGCACATCATTAAAATCATTATATTGCAATAAGATCATTACATTTTACATTTAATCCTATTGGGTTTTATCATATTAGATGTTTTTTCTAATTCTTCTAGCTTGTCAAGTGTCTCTCATCCAGCGTAGTAGCTTTCCCACCTAACTTTGCATCATCTGCCTACTTGATGAGTACGCCCTTGATGCCCAGACAAAGATGTTAAACAGCAGAGGACCAAGCACACAAATCCCTAGGGTAACTCTACTGGAGCTTCTTGCTATATTGACATCGAACAGTTAGAACTACTCTTTGAGTCCAGTGATCCAACCAGTCCCAAATCCATGTTATTATACCACTATCTAATCCGTAACTCCCCATGGTCCTGACAAAAACAGCATGAGATATTTTATCAAAAGTTTTGCTAAAAATTTTGTTCAGTGGTCCTTAATCATTTTTGTGTCATGCACCCTTTTGGTAAAGACTATGGACCCCTTCTCAGAATACACAAGTAAATAAATACATAAGATAAAATGCATGGGATAACAAAGGAAACCTTATAATGAAATGCAGTTATTATACACACGTATGTGGGGGGAACAAATCTCATGAATTACAAATTAAGAATGCCTGGACTAATTATATATTTATTACATATTTTATATATCATATAATTAATTATAATATAATCATAATAATATTTTATTTATATAATACATAAATATATTTATATATAAAATTACATATATAATATATAATTTATATCTAATTATATAATTAAATAATAATTACATAATTAAAATATAGCATTCTCCTCATCTGCTGGAGACATAGCTATATGACATCACCAGAAGAATGCTAGCGTTAAAATAGTACATTGCATGTGAGGGAGCACACCTGACCCAGTACAATCCAACCCACTCTCTCTTTCCTATACAATCACAGGCCTAGTTCATATACATCTGCAGATGACCCCCCCATCCCATACCATCTTTCCCACCATAAGTTTCATCATCTGTTTCTTGGTCAGTTTTTCTCATGAAGTCACAGAGATTCAAAGAATAGGTTGAATGATGTTTGGGGAATATGACAAAAGTGTTTATAGAATGTCTCTGCTTCTTCATCTCTACAGTCAGTCTTGGCATGAGAGATGCTACTGTCATAGTGGTCTCTCCTTAGGATCAATACAAGAGGAACAAATGTCCCATGGTAGATGATGAATCAATGGTCCCATTTCATGGTTTCATTCATCCACATCATTTTCATTTCAATCATCCAAAGCAGGTGGCTTTGGCCAAAATGTTTCATTACCTTATGGCTGAACTCCCAATGATGAACCTCTCCCTGTTTAGCCAAATTGGTCTTCATGGAGCAGACACACACATTTCATAGTACAGAGGATGAAGTACCAGACTAAGATCTGGGTTTGAATCCCATCTCAGATGCTTCCTAGCTATGTGACCAGAGACAAGTTACTTAACCTCTGATCGCCTTAGTTTCTTCATCTGTAAAAGCAATCAACCAACAAGTATTTCTTATGCTCCTGAGAAGTCAAAACTCCTTGGCAAGGTGGGGGAATTTAAATGCCAGAGGAATGCAGTCATGTCCACATGTACAGAGAGTCCTGACCCTCAGCATGGCCATGGATATTTGGCTAACTCGCCCAAAGAGCTCAGGCAAGCTGTTGCCCTGCTCTGTGTCTCAGTCTCCTTACGATAATGATAGGTAACTTCTTTAATTCATTATCTCATTTGATCCTCAATTACAACACTCTGAGGCTGATACTGCCATTTATCCCCATTTTACACATGAGCAAACTGATGACCTGCCCAGAGTGACACAGCTAGTAAGTGCCTGAGGTTGGGGTTTCTGACCTAGAAGGCCTGTAAGGTCCCTTCTAGCTCTGACATGGAATGATTCTGTTTGAAATCAGAATCAACTCAGAAACAACCTAGTCGTGGCAAAGCAACATCCTCCTTGCTTGTCCCCATTTTCCTTTCTTGCGAATGGACTTTGAGAGAAAGGACTCACTTCTATGCGCTGGCAGGGTACTGATTTCAAGGGACAGGATGGCCGATACCCACCTACTTGAGACTGAGCCACCATGGTCGACTTGCGGTCACACAGAGGTGAGAAAGGAAGGCCGAGCTCAGCTTCCCTGTCACCCTGGGAAAAGAGAAGGGCATAGCAGATTAGAAGGAGGCAGACCTGGCCAACCACCAATATCTTAGCACCTACCACCCAAGGACATTGGACTTGGCCTTCATTATTTCAGTTACATAATGTAATAGGGTTTTCTATTCCCTGCTAATGTACATAAAAAGAGTCAAGGGGCCAGGACTCCTCATGGTTTAATCATGCCCTCCAGGGACAGGGAGGTCATCAGAACACAAGAATCTCACTTGTCTGATAGTGATTGTCCCTCCAACATAAACCACAGCCAAGAATTCTTCAGGGGCCTGCCTACCTTGGACAGCTCAAAAGAATAGCATGACCTTGTGGGCTAAGGACCATTACCCTGAGTCAGAAATGTTGAGTGCTCACCATCTTCCCTCAGGTCATGCTGGACCCCTAGTTCATCATGTGAAATTTTCCCTCGCCCTTTCAGGAAATTTCACCTGCTGCCATAGGCTGAGGAGTGTGAGGGTGCCCTTATTTTGGGTGTGTCAGCTATCCTCCTATTTGGGGGTCCGGGGCTACCCTAATATCCTTCTTGTGTTGCTGTCACCTCCTATTCTGGGCTCCCAGCATCAGTTAATCAGTCAACAAGCAATCACGAAATGATCACTATTTGTCAGGCACTATGCTAAGCCCTGGTGATACAAAGAAAGGCAAAAACATTCTCTCTGCCTTCAGAGAGCTCACATTCTAATGGGAGAGACAACATGCAAAGAGTTAGCTATCCACCATGTAAATGCCATCGCAGAGGGAAGGTCCTAGCAGCTGGAACAGACTGAGAAAGGTCTCTGGGTAATTGCACATGGCCCTCCTTTGCCTGTTGTTTTTAGTCATGACTGACTTGCTGAATTCTTAAGTCTCAGCAGTGGACAATCTCCCTCTGCAACCTCAGAAGGCTAAAAGAAAGAGAAGCTCAAAGAACAATGAGGAATGAGCCACGGTCCCTTCACTGGGAGAGACCTCACTGTCTCCTGGGAGAGATAGGGAACATGCATCAATAAAGAGAACACCAGAGAGTTAGATATGACGAGAATGAAAGAGAAACAGAGTGAGTGTGTGTGTACACACATACATACATACATACATACATACACACACTTTTCTTGTTCTTTATACATTGAAATGTTTGTGCATGTTGAAGATTGTGAAAGCAGCTAGGCAGGGCAGAGCGCTGGGACTAGACTCAGAAAGGCTTGAGTTCAAATCCAATCTGAGACGCTTACTAGTTGTTTGACCTGCGACAAGTCAATTTAACCTCTACCTACTTCAGTTTCATCATCTTTAAAAGAGGAGATAATAGTACCTACATACCAGTGTTGTTTTAAGCACTAAATGAAATAATATTTGAAAAATCTTTGCTGGCTATTATTATTAAGTTTGTAACAAAAAAATTAAGGATAGTAGTGTGAGATTGAGAGAGGGAAAAAGAATCATAATGAGTGACTTTGTGCAAGCCTATCATGAATGCAAATGATAAGAGAGTAAAATGACTGGGCCAAAAAGCAGAGTGGTTGGGTGTGGATCACCTGTACTTTAAGGGATGTTTGAACACAGATCTTAGGAATTTTGTGGGGAAATTCTGGTGTGGAGCCACTGAGGAGCAAATGTGCCTGAAGCAAATATCAGTTCAATGAGTATAAGTAAGTCCGAGAGTAATAAAACAGCCTGAGGGCACAGGGACTTCCCTCGGCCTGTGCAGCACCGGATGAGCTGGAGAGCACATTAGGCCCAGGGTCCACTCAAAGGAGCAATTCCAGCACTCTGGGGACAATGAGGGACGAGCCCTGACAGATGTAATCTCTGTATGCCCCAATAATCTCCAAGTGGGGAAAAAGAAGACCCTGGAGGAGTTGGTGGGGGCTGAGGGAGGGGCAGGAAGGAGGGAGGAAAAGCTCCACAGAATTCTGAGTTTGTGAAGTCATTTCAAGCTAGCCAGTATGTGAATGGTCGCAAGGCCCCTAGAATCCAGGTCACTTCATAGCCTTCTCATTCATAAAAACCCTCGCGTGTGATCATTTGCATAAACCAAATTCTGTACAAATCTGAAATAAGGCTAGCTATGAATAAAACCAAAAAGGACCTGAAAGAAATAATCAATAGTTAAATCAAGGAGAAAGTAGGACAAAACAGATGACCAGCCTTCCTGCAGTGATGGAGTTCTGTTTATGTTTTCGACAGTTTGTTTAGAATAGGCCCCCCATGGGACGTCTGGCTCTTTTTATGACTTTTGAAGGCTCGACCCTATTGAGCTGTTTTCCTCCGGCTGCACAATCTGAGAACAGAGGCCCTTGTCATTGTTGCAGGGCACTTACTTTGTCACACCCATTCATTCTCCTGGTCCCTACTTATTATCAGCCTCCTTCCAAGTGGGATTGTCTGGAGGGTGTACCAGACGTCAATGAATAATAATTAAAGCCAGAAACGATGGCCTCCTCCCTAAACTACACGTTCTTTACATCTTGTCCCACCAGAGAATAAAAAGCCACAAAGTAAAAGCACCAATTTCTGCGTCACTTCCACTAAAATGCAGGAAAAGGGTTTGGCCCATCTGGAAGTTCAACCCTAAGGGCACAATGGAATTTAAGTGCATTTGAGGGCTGCAGGAATGGGAGCAGAAGGCTGAGTTTCCTTCAGTGCGCTGTTTCTACAGTGTTTGTGTGTCATGGGTACACAATGCTTCCTTCCTTGTCTCAAGTTTCCAAGCATGCTATGCTGATGGATGCTTGGATGGCCCAGGGGAGGGGGAGCAGAAAGAGCCCCAGATGTGGAGGCTAAAGCCTAGACTTCTTCTTGTTTGAATCATTCCCCTTCTCTGAAAAAAAAAAAAGGAGGCATTGGATTAGATGATCCCTAAACTCCCGTCAAGTTGTGACATTCAATGCCTATCTGAAATGGCGGGTTATTGGACTATGTCTGCACTAGAGTGGCAAGGTAGGCCAATGAGCCACTGTTAAATGAACTTGGACTGTGTAGACAGGCTATCTGGACACCTCAAGTCAAACCCTTTTCTTTTTAATGGGCAGCTTTTTGTTGTTGCTATCATTAGCCTGTAGAATCTTCCAATCTCTAATCTGCCTGTAAACAGAGATATTTTATTTTCATTTTATACTGATCATGGGATAGTGGCTGCCCTGGGAGCTGGGAAGACCAAGGGCCAAATTCCACCACTGACATCCTGGCATGGTGACCCTAGGCAGATTGGTAATGTGCCTGTGACTGATAGTCTTCATGAGTTGCTTGGGGCAGTGTCAATCAGTGAGTTGACCCACAACTATGTGCCAGGTGCTGTGCTAAGCTGTGGGCATACAGAGAAAGGCTAAAGGAGTGCCCAGTCTAAAGGGAGAGGCAACATGCCAACAGCAATGCACAGACAAGATAGATGGTGGATAATAGACAGAGGGAGGCACAAGAGGGATTGGGAAAGGCTTCCCATAGAAGGTTAGATTTTATCTGGACCTTGAAGGAAGTCTGGGAGGACAAAAGGAGGAGAGGAAGTGGGACAGAATTCCAGACACAAGAGATAGCCAGTGGAAATGCCTGGAGATAGGAGATGGAGCATGTTATGCAAGAAACATCAAGGAGGTTGGTATCATGGGATCCCAGAGTATGCTGGGGGAGGGGGTACAGTGGCAGAAGACTGGAAAGGGGTTTGTGGAAGGAGGCATGTTATGAAGGACTTTGAAAATCAGTGGATTTACATTTGATTCAGGAGATAATAGGGAGCCACTGAAGTTTATTGAGTAGAGAGGGCAGGGTGAGATGGTCCAACCTGCATGGCCAGACAATGTGAATGACTTGCCCAAGGTCATTGAGAATGTCAGAGGCAGGACTTGACCCAAGCTTTCCTGACTCCCAAGGTAACTCACAATCTGTTATATCTCCCTACCCTTTACATTGATTATTTTTATTATTTTTTATTATCTTATTTACAAATAAAAATGTGATGCTTATTCGCTTCACTACTCTATGATGCTTGCTTAGAGATGCTTCCAATGTCCCCTGACTGTCAAAGAGATGCCTCACCCAGAGTGATAATTAGTCATTTTTGTGGCTTGGGCAAGTGACAGGGAAGTAACCTGCAGGTTACAAGGGGGTGATATGGTAACATAGACCCCAGGAGGCTCTGAAGTCAGTACTGGGAGGGGCCCACCTAGAGCTGGAGAATAGATAATACAGCTGAGCATGTTGGGAAGAGTTAGGGTAGGTGGAGGGAGCAGGGCATCTCAGGGCCTCCTGGCTTAACTTGGCCTTTCTGTTCACTAGTCATTGGGTTCAGCAATATCCCTCTCTGAAGGATTCCAAGAGCTGTTGGTCAGCATCTCAATTTCAGCATCCCTTTATCTCTATTTTCTTTGTCATATGAGGGAAAACCCAACAGTGTATTAGTTGAGGCAGCTTAGTCTTTTGAGGCATTCTTAAATTTTGGCCCATCTACTGTTATGGACCTTTGAAAGCTGATATTTCATTCCAAAATCACCCTGAGGCAATGGCTTGGAAGTTGGAAAATGTAATTATTAAAATGAGAAGAGGTAAGATACTCTCCCAAACGTGAAAGGGCTATTTCACATGAGCTAAGTGCATTCCCTAATTTCAGTGCATAACCCAAGATTCAAAAGTCACTTTTAAAAGGTTTACTGACCCCAATAATGTTTGGGTTTTTATTTTTCTTTCTAATTTCAAATCTGTGGCTGGGATGTGAAGTAATTTTGTGCCTATAGTATATTGATCATTTATTGTGGAAAGCAGAAACTCATTTAAAATGCTGCCAATAAAAATCATGTACCAAATAATGATTACTTAAAAATGGAGTCAGCTCCCCCAGCTGGCATCAAATTCAATTTTTAAAAAATCAAGAATTAGATGTGTTGCAGTTCTTTTTAAACCAGAGGAAATCACAGCATAGCCAATAGAAGGCCAGCCTTGGAGTCAGGAAGACTATGCACATGGCTAGCTAGGATGGGAGATTTAGTGGTAAAAGAAACTTTAGAAGCCTTCTGGCTCAACCCCCTCCTTTAACAAATGAGGGACCGGAGGCCTAGAGAGATGAAATGATTTGATTGAGGTCATGGGAAGTGGTGAAACCTAGATTTGAACCCAGGCCCTCTGACTTCAAACCCAGTGTTCTTTCCACACTGTATTATGCTACCTCTACTCCAATGTCAATGAGCCTCAGGTTCTTCATCCACAAAATGGGCATGTTTAACAATAAGATTGTGTCTATGTTAAAATAGAGTTTGCTCTTTAGTCTACCACAGATACTGAAAGGATGAGAAAATAAAAGTGACTCCCACAGTCTAGGTCATGAGGAGAGACGCTCTCTTGTACCTGAGTACAACACCAAAGACACTTAACACCTGTTGTACCTTCCTCATGGGGCCGGAGAGTGTACAGTGGAGAAAGCCACTCAGCCTTGTAGTGAGAAGTATCTGTGTCAGAACCCTGCCTTGGACCCATCCTGGCTGGGCAGGGGTGGGGAACCTGCGGCCTCCAGGTCCTCAAGTGCGGCCCTTTGACTGAATCCAAACTTCACAGAACAATCCCCTTAATAAAAGGATTTGTTCTATTAAACTTGGACTCAGTCAAAAGGCTGCACCTGAGGACCTAGAAGGCCACATGTGGCCTCGAGGCCGCAGGTCTCTCATCCCTGCAGAATCACAACTCTCCACCCCACTCCCTACCCCAAGCAACTCCCCAAGATGTTAAGTGGCAGAGAAGGTGTGATTGGTGCAGTGGCAGGAATCTGCATGGGAGGAATGTCACTACTTCAAGGAGGCCACAGATCCAGTTTGGGAATGGGAATTTTCAAATTGCAGACCACTAAGATGAGAAAGCACTGAGATGCCTCCAGGGTCCCAGATACCGCTATTCCCTAGTCCCAGCAGAGGCAGCAATCCAGAAATGTAAGAGGTCCGCACCAATGTACTCTTCATGCCAGGAGCAGTCTTCCAACCCAGTATTTGCAATATTTCATTTGACCATACAATAACCTTGGGAGCCCGGTGCCTTAAGTCATAGATTGGGAGAAAGAAGGACTTTAAAGGTCGTCTAGACTCATTTTTAGATGAAGTAAAGACATGGGAAATTATTTGTCCATGAAAACACAGTAAGTTAAAGACTGAGTGGGGATTTGAACTCAGCTCCTCTGAGGCCACCGCCCCACACTCAACAGCAAAGTAACTGATGTCGAGAAACATCATTTTCTAAATATTTCAACAATTCAGGAATCAGATAGGTCGAGGTTCAGAGACTCCAGAAGAAAGAGGCCTAAGAGGCCGTGAAATTGTTTATCTTCTCCCAAGAAATATTCTTGTTCTTTTCCCTAGCTCTAATCCATAGAGAATATCCTCAGCAGGTCATACATATACAAAGTCAGAAAACATCAGTTAAAGAAAAGGGACTAATCTTGTCCTGCTACATGGGCCCCAACAAGTGAAGCCGCCGTATGACCTTGTGATTGTCCCAGTTACCTGTCTAAAGAATTCTTCCAGCAGCGACATGGTCCAGCGATGATGGAGATCCCAGGCTTTAGCTGGGTGGCTGATGTCAGCTGTGTGCAGCATCAAAGATAAGGCTTTCGGCTTGTCAATTCTGCAAACCCAAACAAACCAACCACTTCATGACAATCTGTGTCCATCATGTTTTAAGCACTTAAAAAAATACACACATGCCATACCCTGCTTTAGCCAAGTCAAGAAACTGACCTTAACCCATGAATGGGATCCACAATCTCCTGGTGGATCTAATATAAGGAACACCCCTGAAAAACCAACCTTCTTAAGTATTTGATTTTGCATCTTTTGTGTGCCGATTTAGTCATTCCAAAGGCAAAGGGAAACCAATAGCCTCCCGATACACAGTACTTCTGTTTCCTTGGATTGGGCAGACCCTTGAAATCATGACAGTTTCACCTAATGCTGAATTTAAACTTCTCTTTTTAGGGAAACTCCTTCCTTAGGTAGTACTTGCTGTTAGTCTGGTTTTTTTAAAACGGCCAATTCAGATCTCTACCACCACAGTGGTAATTTATCTGAACAGAACTGTCTTCCTGCACACTCAAGGAAGCTCCTTCAAAGGGAGCCAGGCTTTAGAAGTTCAATGTCAGAGCCAAGTACGCTCACAGCTTGTCTTTCACAGCGGCTTACGGGTTAATAAAGTGACTCACGCTTCTGGCTGTTGCAACGCTGTTTTCATGGCCTTGATCTGTTGGAAATGACAGGACATATCTGTGGCCATCACCATCTCGATCACCAAGGTCCGGAATTCCCTGAAGTGGAGATGCCATTGAGAAAGAGGGAAGGAGGGGAAAGGGAGAAAAGAAGAATTTTTTACCCATTCTGAACAATCCAATCTAATTATTTCTGACATATCTAACTTCTATAGCCATTCAAGCAGTATCTTTGTGGAAGGAATGATCGTGATAAAGGGCTGGATTATTTAGTAAGAATGCCAGAGTCAGGGTAAAAGGAGGATTAGACAGAAGATAAGTGAACAAGGGAAAAGACCCCCAAAGAACCTGAAAAAAGCATAAAGAATATTCTTATCAACTAAATTCTATGCAACAGAAACTATCCAGTCTATCTTTTGTAATTGCTTCTATCTCATCTTTGGTTAAGAAATCGCCTTTGGCCATAGCTAAGAAAATTGCCTGATTGTAATTCTATTTTGTAATTATATGTGCATTTTTATATATATATATGTATATATACATACACATATATGTGTGTATGTATATATATATATATATATATAAAACTTTGTAATTCTATTTATATATAATTTCTATTTGTGGGGAGGGTAGAGAATGGGGATATTAAAGAATGTCCTTCGATATTTAGGTCACACATCTATTTTGAGTTATTTTGATATATAGTATAAGGTTTTGGTCTAAACCTAATTTCTACCCAAAAGCCCTCCAGTTTTCCCAGAAATTCTCATTAAATAGAGATTTCTTCCGCCAAGTAATTTCCATTCTCACTTTTACTGCATATTAGATTATTAAATGAATGAAATCAATAAACACGTCATTTATTAAGGATTTACTATGTACCAATCATTATTTAAGTATTGAGGATACAAATGGAGGGGTAGTACACTCCCTGGTCTTAATGAGCTCACATTGTAGTTGGAACAGACAACACATAGAGGAAGAACAAGTTTCAGAGTGGGGGAAGGGGTTGGTAGTCTTAAGGGTGTAGTTGGAGGATAGATGATAGGGCCCTCAGGGTGCTCGGGCAGATCAGATAGCAATGCCTGAGGATGGGGGAGTCTGAAGGGTATGGCACCAAGACAGATGGTTAAACCTGGTGGTCTTCCACCTTACCAGAAGGACTGAAATCGGTGACTCCATGTCCGTCCAAGTGATATAAGTAGTTATGTCCACTTATCGAGGTGGGAAGATGATGGAGGTGTCCTATCACTGGCAAGAAGGAGGGGGGAAGTGGGACTGAGGGTTGGAGTAGAGTAGGGAATCTGAGATCCCTCCCATAGTAGTAGGCATGGTGGAGAGGGTCAGGGTCCAGCCAAGAGGAAAAAAGGAAGGAGGATTGACAGGAAGGTGAATAAGCAACCCTGGAAAGGGCTTGTGCAAGTTCTCACACCAGACATGCTAGTCCTCCTTGAATACCCTACACACCCTCTTGGCATGTTGATTGGCATACTACTAAATCCATAAATTAATTTAGGCAGTATTACTATTTTCATCATATTAGCAAGGCCCAACCATGAGCACAGAATGCCCTCCAATTATTTAAGTTGTCTTTATTTCTTTAGAAGTGTTTTGTTTTGTTTTGTTTTGTTTTTAAATCAGATCTTTCCAAGTCTTAATTGTGCGTTCATAGATACTTCCCCAGAATTTTAGGCATTTTGCAGTTATTTTGAATGGCACTCCCTTTTTTACTGTTTCCTCCTGGATTTTGCTATCACCATGTAGAAATGCTTTTGATTTGGAGAGATTGTCTATTGTTACTTTGATGACACTATTAGTTGTATCATTTTGATTATTCTCTGAGAGTTTCTAAGTAAATTACTCTATCATCAGGAAGTAAGGACAGCTTTGTCTCTTATTTACCTATGTTTATCATTTAAATTTGTTTCTCTTCTTTTACCATTATGTCTAGCATTTTTGGAGCTGTCAAATAACTCCGGGGGTCTTTGCTCTACTCCTATATTTCTTGGGAAAGCTTCTAGTGTTGCAAATAATTACAAATTATTATTGCAAATAATACTAGCTTTGTATTTTAGAAATATACTTTTTTATAATATTTTCTTAAATGGCCAATCTATTTCAAAGCTACCCTTTGCAGGTTTTATGCCATAAATGAGTATTGCACTTTGTCAAAAGCTTTTTCTGAATTAAATGATATAAACATGCAATTTGAGGTATTTAGGGTTTTAGTATTATTAATACAATTATTTTATCTCTAATATTGGGCAATCCTTGCAACTCCAGTATAAATGTACCTTGATCATAGTGGAGATAAATATACATAATACATACATACATACACACATAAACATATATGCATATATGTATATATATGTATAATTTTAAAAGTGATATTCAATAATGATATCAGTTTTTAGTTCTCTTCTCTTATTCTTTCCTGGTTTAAGTATTAGAATTCTATTTGTCTGAAAAAGAGGAGTTGTGCAGATTGTTTTCTTGCTCTATTTTTAAGAATAGTTTGTGTAGTATAGATATTATAGATAGTCTTTATAAGTTTAAAAGAATTTGCCTATAAATCCATCTGGAGCAGGTATATCTCCCTCCCTTGGTAATCCCTTTATAGCTGAATATCTGAAATGTATTCTTTAAAATCTCTATTTTTTGTTCTATTAATTTGGCTCTCTGTGTTTGGATAGATAGATAATCCTTTTCTTTCGTGTTTTCAGTTTTGTTGGCATATAATTTTATATGGTTATTTCAGATAAATTGTTTTGTTTCTTCTCTCCTTCATCTGATTTCCCGCACTCATTTTAATCAGGCTGGCTAAAGGCATGTTGATTTTTTCGTCTTTTTAAAGAACCAGCTTTTCATTTTGTTTACTAATTCAATAAGCTTTTTTGGTTCCCAATGTATCTACTTCTCTAATTTCCCGGTTGTCTTAATGTTAAGTAGACATAGTCAGTGGGTGGCCTGAAACAAATGAACATAGCCCATGAGCAGGACCCACAGAGTGACTCAGGGTGAGTATTATGTAGGGGACATTGGGGCTTAGAATATGCTGTGAGATAAAGCTAAGAGCCGGCCATAAGAAACTCTTGATACCCCTCACATGCTTGGAGAGCAGCTGAAGACGTCCAATATCCATACAACCCCACATCCATTACCTGCCCAATCATCTGCAGAGCAGTAAACACAAAACAAGCTCTTTTCACACAAATCAGTTCTTTCATCAGACTTTTTCAGCTAGAGACTGAGAAGGCTCCATGTTTGAAGAAGGAGGCAGTGTGGGATAATGGGAACACCCTGAAATTGGAGTCTGAAGACCTGGGTTTCAATAAAGACCATATTACTACCTCAGACGGTTCACTGAAACCACTGTAGGCCTCAGATTCCGCATATGTAAAATGAAGAAGGTTGGTCTAGATAACCTTGAAGGCCCAGTCGACTCTTAAATCTATGGTCCTATGACCCATTTGGTCAGTACTGAGCTAATGAAGAGTTTCACATTTCCCAGACACTTCCTAGAAATTAGCACTTTTCAATGACCAGGAGAGGGATAGGAATTGGTCCTAGAATACCACTGGTTTAGAGATCTAGCAAATGAAGACACTCTTGACCAGTGAAGATTAGCAACTTACTGTCTTAAGAGAGTTGCCTGGATAGATAAAGTGTTTATGAAGCATTTACATTGGGCCAGGCATTGTGCTAAACTCTGGAGATACATAAGAAAGTAATCAAGACAGTCCCTGCCCTCAAGGAGTTCACATTCTAAGGTTGTTCAGTCATTTCTAGTCATGTCCAACTCTTCATGACCCCATTTGGGGTTTTCTTGGCAAAGTGGTTTGCCATTCCTTTCTCCAGATCATTTTACAGATGAGGAAACTGAGGCAAACAGGGTGAAGTGACTTGCCCAGGGTCACACAGTTAGTATGTTTCTGAGGCCGGATTTGAACTCACAAAGATGAGTCTTCCTGACTCTAGGCCTGGCATTCTATCCCTGAGCTGCCTAACTCACATTCTAATAGAAGACAAACACATAAATGGGTGCTGGAAAAGGGAGGCATGGTGGTGAGACTGTGCAGGAAGCAGTTTGGTTCCTAGATAGATAAGGCACAAAGCTCACCTGTCAGAGCTGGAGAAGAAGAGGAGGAGTTTAAGTTTCCAACAGAGTAGATGGTTGGAGAGCGAGAGCACAGTGGGGACACGACAGAAGTGCCTGAGATGTTGACACTGGCCACACTCTTCTGTTCCAACCCAACCAGCCAGCTTGCTGTTGCCACCTTCCACCTCTGCCCTTTCATCTAGGGCTTGGCCCACCACAGGTGGAGTTCTGCCTCCTCACCTCGGCCTCATCTAGCTTAAGCTCGCCTCCACACACAGCACACATGACAGTTCCTACAGGAAACCTTGCTTTCTATCACACCATGAGTATGTGTGAAAGGCAGAACTCAAACTCAGGTCTTCCTGACTCTGAGGCCAACCCTCCACCCCACAACTTTGCCTCTCGAGAAAATATATGGGCCGATATGTGGGCCATAGATAAAAGTAAATTTAGGGGTGGATGGGGTGGGCTGTCTTGGTGACAAGTGACCCAGAGCCCTTGCCCCAGGTCACGTAGACAGAAGGTCTCACAGGCAGCAGCTGGACTTCATTCTTCCTGGTTTTGAGGCTGAATGCCACACAAACTCTCATTCAGGCTAAAAAGGCTCCAATCCAACAAGAACATCTTTAATATCAATACTGTAGATAGAAAGACCCAAGGAAACACAGCTCTGCCTTGAGGCATCTCCATTCTCCTGGGAGGGCATAGCTTGAAACAGATCAGTATATACAGGAATATTTGGGGAAGGGGGCAAGGGGGGAGAGCACCAATAACAAAGGAGAACAAGAAAGGCTTCCTATAGGAAGTGGCACCTGAGCTGGGCCTTGAAGGAATGATTCAAGGATGAGAAGAGGTGCTGGTGAAGGGGGAAACTAACCCTGCTGGTCATCAACCAAAGTGAAATGCATTGATGGATGTTGGCATCTGACTCCACCGTTTCCCCTAAAGACAACTCTAGACAGATTTGTTTACATGAGTTGGATTCCTCAGATGGCTTTTCCCAGAAGCATTTAATCACCCTGGGAAAAGGGAATTAAAGCCACATCTCTTCTTATAAAACATGTTTCTTTATAGCTGAACGATGACTTCAAATGAAATCAAGGGCAGGATACTAAGAAAAGAAGAAATTGTTGCATCCAACTAAAACACATCATTTCCTAGACGTATAGTCAGTCACCTGAGAGAGGGAACCTTCAAAGGTGTTGGGTGTGGGAGGGTTGCAAAGATAGATGCTACCAACAAGAACATGATTTAAATATTATATTAAGCTTACAAGGTAAACAAACTGCCTTCTCTCAACTCAACCAGCACCGCGATGCCAGACCTCTTGATTTTTACAACAGCCTCCTAATTAATCTTCCTGCTTCTAGTCTCACCCCTCTACCAATAGGTCCAACACACAGCTGCCAAAGCACAGGCTTGACCGTGTCACTCCCCCGTTTTAAAAGAAAAAATCTTCCGTGGCTCCCTATTGCTTCTAAGATAAACTATAAATAACTGACCCTTCACAATCTGACTCCAGCCTCCCTTTCCGTACTTCCTTCTCAGGACTGCCCTTCCCACACTCTCTATCCCACCCACACTGGGCTGGCTGCTGTTGTCCACGCTCAGCACGCCATCTCCCACCCCCATGCCTGGAATGTGCTACCTCCTCTCCTTTGCGTCTCATATCCTTTGTCCTCCTCAAAGTTCAGTCCAGGCCTCACTTCCTGCAGGAAGCCTTTATTAATTCCATTTCTTATTAATGCTCTCTCTCCCTAAATTATCTTATATTTGCTCCCCAGTGTCTGTGGGGTATCCCCTGAGTAAAACGCAAGCAACTTGAGGGAAAACATTGTTGCATTTCTGTCTTTGTAGCTCTAGTGCCTGGCACGGTACATAGCAGGTGCCTGACAAGTACTTGCTGTCTCCTCAAATTAAGAGTCTCATAATATACAAGACACAAAAGTTTTCCAAGCAAGCTCTCCCTGAATATGCGCATTATTGGACAGCGGGAGGAGGCTCTCTCTGCATCAGAGCAGTAACTAGGCTAAGGTAATGGAGGCTCTGTCCCAGGAAGCCAAAATGCTGAGGACCCAGAAATGACTATATTATTCATCCTCAAACATTTCTCATGCCATTTTCTGATTCTTCACAATGGTAGATGACAAAATAGAAACTTGTGAGCAAGCCAGTTAGTATATTGTGTATATTGTGATTAAATAACACATGCCTTTTGTAAAGCATTTGTCTTAAGGAAACACACACACACACACACGCACACGCACACACACACACACACACACACACACACACAAGAACTAAACAATTAAGCAGGCAGAGGACGCTTTTTCCAAAAGCAGTCATCTTCATCTGTTTCATGTTCCTTCTCCCAAAGACGGCCCTTTGGGGTTTCTTTGCTTCTCACCTCCAGTCATCCTTCGAAAGGTTGGTCAAAATATTCATTTCCTCATCTTCTTGGAGGAGTCGATAGGCTGCGCTGATGTGATGATTCTCGAGGACGGATCGGTCATTGTACAGAATGGCCGGATCTGAGCTGGAGACAAAAAAGAAACAAAATATTCAACCACAGGGACTTGAGAAGCAGTACGGCCTAATGGGTAGGGTGCCAGATGTGGCGTCAGGAAGTTTGGGGTTCAAATTCTACCTCAGATACTTACTAGTTTAGTAGCTCTGGGCAAGGGACTGAGCCTATGTAAAAGGAGGGAGCTGGATCTGATGGGCCCTGAGGTGCCTCCTGGCTCTAAATCTATGGCCCTATGAGGCTCCAGGACTGCAGATGGGAACTGATTCAGACTATTGGAGGGAATGTCGTTCCAGACATTCTAGCATCATCTAAGGGCACATTCGCTTTCTGAGGCTTCTGGATCATACTTCTGAGTCTGCGGTCCACCAGCCACCCTGGACCCGATGGTCTGCAAGGTCTCTTGCTTAATCTGTACTCCCACGATTTTTTTTCAGGAAAGTTTCTCCATGCTGGAGTGAATACCTTATTTCTTGCTTCATCAGTGCTCTTCCCAATGCACAGGCCCCTTCCCACCCAACAACTAATGCAAAGGACAAAAGAGAGAACTGGAAATTAAAGATCAACAGTCAAAACTGCCATGGATGTGATCAAGGCCTGTCAGTGTGGGGTTTGTGATGGCCAATATGGTCTGGATAGGAGGAGGAAAAGAATACTGGGTGGGAGTCAGAGGCCCTGGGTTCAAATCCCAACCCTGTCAACTCTTACCTATGTTACCGAGGGCAAGTGACTTCTATAAATCTCAGTTTCCTCATCTAATAAAAATTAGATTGGTGTACCAGATCTGCAGTTCTTAAAGTGGCCTGGGGACTCTTTAAAGTCCCTGAGACCCTTTTTGGTGGTCTGTGAGGTCAAAACAATTTTTATAATAATACAAAGATGTTTTAATTTCTAATATGCTAATTAATGGTAAATTGAATATAGTTATAACCTCATAAGAGCAGCTAGATGGCACCATGGACAGTGCACTTGGCTTAAAACGAGGAAGATTCATCTTCCTGAGTTCAAATGCGACACCAGACGTTTACACGCTATGTGATCCTGGGCAAGTCACTTAACCCTCTTTGCCTCACTTTCCTTATCTGTCAAATGAGTTGGAGAAGGAAGTGTCTTTGCCAAGAAAACCTCAAATGGGGTCACAAAGAGATACGACTGAAGTGACTAGAAAACAACAAATAGCCACATAAACAAAAGTTCTTGGCTCTAATTCTTTACAACACGACCAATGTGCAAATAGGTTTAATATGAATGTATATGTAGAGCCTTTATCAGATTGCACACCGCCTTGGGGAGGGGGAAAGAGAGAGGGGGAGAGAAAATTTCAAACTCAAAATCTTATGGATGTGAATGTTAAAAACTAAAAAAAAAATAATTAATTAATTAAAGAAATAAACAGAAGCTCCTGGAGGAGATCCTCAACTTTTATGAGTATAAAGTGGTCCCGAGACCAAAAAGTGTGAGAATCCCTGGATTGGATGACCTCGGAGGTCCCTCCCAGCTATAAATTTGTGATGCCACACGTATGACAGGCTCTTACTTCTAAAGCTGGGAGGAGTCTCAGAGGTCATCTCCTCCAAACCCCATATTTTACGATTGAGGAAACTGAGGCCCAGGGATGCTAAGTCCCCACAGCTAGTAATTAGCAAAGCTAGAATTTGCACTCATATCTTCTCACTCTAAAGCCGGCTGTGTTTGTTTAAACAGTGAGCTCCCAGAAACTTCTGTGAATCTTTACACATATTTATGCAGACAAGATTTCCCCCTGCCATTTACTAGCTATGTGACCATGGATAAGGCAGTTATGACTGTAAGTTGCAGAGCAACTGTTTATCTGTATCAGTGAAAGGAATTTCCACACCAAGAATCTTCCAAACAATTGAAATTGCAGGTCCAGATTCTTCAAACACCCTCCCCCAAATATGCTATCAAATTTCAATGTTAACTCTGAAAATGGAGGAGTCACATGGAATGGCGATGTGAGCTGGTTAGATCAGGCCCCTTCCTAGGAGTCATGGGAGAGGGAACAGCATGTGGACAGAGAGAATCATTAGGATGAATGAGTCCATGAGCCAAGGAAATTCTACCAAACCCTGGCTCTATTTTGACCTGACCTCATGCTAGGTATAGCTAAGAGTGCCTGTGATTTTTTTTTTCATTCTAGATTGGGTGGTAGAGGAGTTTGAGACCTGGACTGGAGTCATTTCACATCCTGCCTTTGACACTTACTTAACTGTGTGACCCTGGGCCCCCCTCTGGGCCTCAGTTTCTCTTATTTGTAAAATTAGGGCATTGAACTAGTTGGGCATGAAAGTCCCTTCTAACTCTGTATCTGTGATAATTTGTAGAATTGTTGTTCAAAGGAAGTGACATTGCTAAGGTGCTGTGACTTCTTCCACATGGGAGCTCCTTCTACCAACCCCTCTATAACTTAGCAAATAATTCTTAGGGACTTGCCCGAGTCTCCAAGAGATTCAGTGATTATTAGCCTATGGTCACACAGCATCAGAGTTGAGATATCCCAGGCACTAGCTGTCTCAGCCACTCCAAATCAGTTTATACAATGGAAATAAACAGCCAGTGCTGTTTACTGGCAGCCTGATGCAGTGGATAAAGCACTGGGCCTGGAGTCAGGAAAACCTCAGTTCAAATCCAGCCTCAGACACTTAAACAAGCTGTGTAACCTTAGGCAAGTCAATTAACGTCTGTTTGCCTCAGTTTCCTGAACTGTAAAATGAGGATAATAATAGTAACTACCCCATATGGTTGTTGTGAGGCTCAAATGAGCTTAGTACAGTAAAGTGCTTAGTACAGCACAAGTAGGTGCCATATACATGCTCATTACTACATGAGCAACTTCATCCTCCAGAACGTTGCTTCCTGGTATTCTTTTTCTGTGGGTCTTTGGATGCTCTTGAGAAACCCTCTAGTCCTTTTAGAGGGAGAGTGTGGCTGTGTTTCTATTCTCTGAGACCCTATAATATCACTTACATTTGGTTTGCATTATGTGACTTTTTTGGGTAGAAAATTTCCCTTTCCATCTAGACTTTACTTAGAGTAATATTGAAATTGGTCTGAATTCCCCATATGTACACCAGTGGGTGGAGGAAGTCTGGAAACACGCTGAGGAAACTGACCTGGGCTTACAATTTTGCCAAAGAAAATCCCTGCTTCAGCTCCAATTGACAGGGGATAAGGTGCCTAGCCTCTCTACAGTCACCCTCAACTTGAGTACATTTAATGCATCTCTCCCCCACCTGGGGCTGGAAATGGGATTTTAAATCACTTGACTTTGCCTCCTCCACCCCAGCCATTCAGGGTTCACTTCCACAGTTGGAGATTACAGCTTTAGCATTTTTATGGTCTTTGGGTGATTTTGTGCTAAGTTTTCTTGTCTCTGGGTCAATTCAGGGACATGGATGAATTCAAAGCAGAAAGTTAAAGAATTTTCTCAAGCATAGTGAAAACCCTTAAAAAGCCATCCCTTTTTCTAGGTTGACAAAAACTAAGCTCAATCAAAGCTACTGGCTAAATTCCCTTTGGCTTCTTTTTATGGTTCCACAATTGGGGCTGGGGGGCTGGGGGCTGTGCCCTTCAAGGCCATTATGTTTTACCATTAGAAAGCCCTGGGTTTGGCTCACTGGAACCTTGAATAAGTAGCTGCCACCGGACCCTTGTGTTCCTGAGTTCCCCTCTCTGTCTCTTCCCAGAAAGGTTCCTGTTTCATCTTTTTTTTTTTCTATTTCTTGTTCTCTTCAGTCACATTCTATCTGAAACCAGCACCTAATTCTTCCTTATGTTTTAATGGTATTTTTGTGCTACTGATAACTACAGGGGTTTACAATGATAAGCACCAATGAACAGCACACCTACAGACATCTTTGGGCAGCTAGGTGGCGCAGTGGATAGAGCGCCAGACCTGGAGTCAGGAAGACTCCTCTTCATGAGTTCAAATCTAGCCTCAGACACTTACTGGCTGTGTGACCCTGAGCAAGTCACTTAATCCTGTTTGCCTCAGTTTCCTCATCTGTAAAATGAGCTGGAGAAGGAAATGGCAAAACCAAGAAAACCCCAAAATGGGTCCCAAACAGTCAGACACGTCTGAAACAACTGAACGACACACATCTTTAAAGTTCATAGGATTGGAGATTTAGCACAGGAAGGGACCTTAAAGCATGGAGTCATCTCATTTCATAGAAGGGGAAACTGAGGGGAGAGAGATTAAGTGGCTTATCTAATAATTATTAATCATAATCATAGCTGCATTGCAAGCTGTGCAAACCTTGGCATGTGTTACCTCATCTGATCTTCAGGACAACTCTGGCAGGCAGGTCTACTGTTGTTCCCATTTTACAGATGAGGAAACTGAAGCTGAAAGAGATTAAGTGACTTTCCCAGAGTCACAGAGCCAGTAAGTTGCCTGAAGGAGGATTTGAATTCAAGTCCTCCTGACTCCAGGTCCAGCATTTTATCTACTGCACCATCTGGACAGCTTAGGGTAACATAGATGACTGAGGCAGGATTCGAATCCAGGTCTTCCTGCCTGCTTATTTTACACATATACATTCATATATATATACATATTTCAATAACTATATTTCAATATAATTGATTTCCTTCACAATCCTATATATATTATTTTACTAATTTAAAAACATTTGGAGAAAGGGTCCATAGGTTCCCCAGACTGCCAGAGGGCACAGACAGTTGTTAAAAAACCTCTGATCTAGACCCATTAAAACCTCATTCCCCTCCCTAACCCTCCCTTGTGTTCTACACCATTCTCTCTGTCTCTGTCTCTCTCTGTCTCTCTGTCTCTGTCTTTCTCTGTCTCTTTGTCTTTCTCTCTCCCTGTCTCTGTCTCTCTGTCTCTGTCTTTCTATCTCTATTTCTATCTCCATCTCTCTCTGTCTCTCTTTCTCTCTGTCTCTATCTTTCTGTCTGTCTGTCTCTCTCTCTCTGTCTCTCTCTCTCTCCACATACACACACACACACACACACACACACACACATGCACGCACGCACACACACTCTCTCTCACTCTGCACATAGTATCTCCAGTCACCCTCCCCCTGCCTCACCGAGTCTGAATGTGGAAGTTGTTGGTGGTCCCGGTGTGTTCGTAATCGTGGATGGCCGCTGAGAAGATGATAGCAAAGATTTCCAGCTCCGTCAGCCAGTTCTGCAGAAGACATGAGGAAGCAATCAGAAGTTGGTCCTTTCCTCTGACGGACCCTCCCAGGCTGCTGCACATCCCTCCCTGGTTCTCGAGGCAGCCTCGCAGCTATCCCCAAAGCAGACTTCTAGGGCAGGTCTCCAAAAGGACAGAATCAGAAACTAAAAGGACTTTGTGCCGTGGGGACCCTTGCGGTCATCTCGGGGAGCCTTCTCAGTTTACAAATGAGTAAACTGAAGGCCAGAGAAGGGAAGTGACAACACGGGGTCATCGAGTTAAGCCAGGAAGGGGCCGTATTGTCTACAGTCACAGCCGAGGGTGGGGATTGCTTCATTCTAATCTTCCTACGTCCTAGCCCGTTCCCTGACATGCAGCAGGTGATTAATAAGTGCAGACTTGCTTGATTATTGACAGGAGTCCCCACATAGACAGACACATATTCTTGCTGTATTGGTGTATGAAGCAGAACCGTGTGATAGTCGGAGGAACACACGCGCACGTGCACACACAGAGATACACACACACACGTGCATACACACATTCTTCCTCTCAAGGCCCTTCCGTCCTACCCAACAGCCCAGAGTGAGGTTGTCACAGCCTTTACTCCATTCCCACAAAACCCCAGAGGAATTCTGAGGAGGGGACGGGAGGACACACGTGAGGCAAGGAACCACAGGACCCCACACACATCCAGAAGCCATCGAGCCCGACCCCCTGATCTCAAAGAGGAGGAAGCTGAGGCCTTGGAGCTGCAGTGACCCACCCAAGGTCACATAAGGGCTCAGGCAGAGCTAGGATTCAAGCCCGGGTCCCAGGCCTCTGGGCACCTTGCTCTGTCGCTTTCCCTTCCACACAGGGCAGCCCATAGTGACTCTCTTGGTCACCCAGGAGCCCATCAGACAATGACTGGGCTCCCCAGCACCATGGGACCAAATAGAACATTCACAGTGCCTGAAGGGCCCTAGGTTCCTTCCTTGTACTCACCACAACCCCTGTCTTGTAGAGGAGGTAGTGGACGGTCTGAGTGACATCCGCTGCATGCATCAGGTTGTGGTAAGGGTTCTTGTGTTTGCTGTAGCCTACCTCCAGTGCTTCCACAAACGAGACAAGAGCAGAAATGGGAATCTGGAAGAAGAAGGTAGCAGTCATGGGCACAGATGACCAGCAACTATATGAGGCACCCATGCTGATCCTTGGGGGAGGCCCAAAGGTGAAGTTGGAGAAAGGAGATTGGGGAAGTCTCAGAGCTTCAGCATCACTGCAGGGGCTTTGCCTTGGGAGGAAATGGCAAAGAATCCAACAGCCTGAGTCTCATTGGGTGGCTGAACAGCTCTGGGCTCTAGCCACCAAGTGCCTGAAACTCACAACTGGACAGTGAGGGATCCAAGGTCCCTTAGCGTGGTGAGGATTCAGAAGAGATCAATACTTAAAGGGCCAAGCCATGGAACAGAGAGTAGGCTTCCCCTGTTTGTCACTGAATGACAGAACCAGGGGCAATGGGGGAGGGGGCCCAGAGGCCAATGTAGGTCTTTAACCAGAGCAATCAGTAACCTTGGGAGAATGCCACTCTGCATAGCCTGAGGGTTGTTTTCTTTTCCTTTTTCACATATATGCTGCATTCATATATTCCAATAATTCAACAACCAGTGGTTTCTGGGGCCTGGAATATTGGGAGTGCTTAATAAGTGCTAACTAATAGACTGAATAATTGAGTGAGAGGTTGGTTCATTAATCCATCATGGATGGCCACTTCTCTATGACTGAGATGAAGGTCAATATCACTGAAAAATTCATTACCACACACATGCACATGCACACACACACACATTCACATACACATATACATAGGCATACAGATCCACAATTTATATTCATAGATACACATTTATATTTGTTACTTGGTTGTTTCAGTTGTGCCTAACTCTTTGTGACCCCATTTGGGGTTTTCTTGCCAAAGACATTGGAATGGCTTTTCCTTTTCCTTCTCCAGCTCACTTTACAGATGAGCAAACTGAGGCAAATAGGATAAAATGACTTGCCCAAAGTCACACACCTAGTAAGTGTCTGAGGCCAGATTTGAACTCAAGAAGATGAGTCTTCCTGGCTTCAGGCCCAGCACTCTATGCACTATGGCGCCACCCAGCTGCCGACACATTCAGATACACATACACATACATATATGGTATCCCCAGAGTCTTTAATAGCTTAAAACCACCTTAAGACTTTGGGGACACCCTCCATCTATGGTCTGAAACATTGAGTCTGACCTAATGAGAAGACATTAAATCGGGATAGATTTAAGGTCCTAATTTTAAGTTCCAAATATCAACTTCCCAAGTCCAAGTTGGGAAAGGCACAGTTAGACAACAAGTGGTTGGGGACTGCCTGCAGCAGAGTCACATAGGTAAACAGTTTGACATAGAGAGCACAAAATCAAACCTGGTCTTGGGCTACAACGACCAACAGTATCAGGTCCAGAACGGGGTCTCCTGCTACGATCTGCCTCACTTGGCTCACATCTAGAGGACTATGTTCAGTTCATAGGATCACAGGGCCATAAATTTAGAGCTAGAAGGGCCTTCCAATCCAAACCAAAGCCTTTCATTTTATAGATGAGGAAATTGAGGCAGAGAAAAGGCGTGACCTGCCCAGGGTCTCACATCTAACAAGTATCTGAGGCAAGATTCAAATCCAGGTCTTCATGATTCCATGTCCAGGCCCTCTATTCCTCCGCACCCCACACCTTACTTACACCCCTATTACACCTCACTCTAGACCAGCTACCTCATTTTCTTGTTGCTCTATCAGCAAAGTCAGGATTTGAATCTAGGTCCTCTACCTCCAGAGCCAGCATGACTTTCACCATAGTACAACAGCTAACAGCACTGTGTTAGAAAGCCCACAAACTGAGCTGGAGTGTGTCTAGAAGAGGAGAAGCCAGATGATAAAGGGATCTTGGAAATGACTGAGGTATAGAAGAAAAGAATGAGAGAGAAGAAAATCCCAGAAGACACAAGGTTGTCTCCAAGTACCACAGAAGTTTCTAATTCATCTGGTTGGCCCAAGAGATCACATCCAGGAGCAATGGGGGAAACAATTCCTGAGTAGGGAATTTGGGGCTTGATGTCAGGAGACACTTTCTAACCATCAAAGATGCACTAAAGTGGAAGGAGGTGCCTCACTGGGAACTCGGTTCTCCTGACATCTTTACCTGGAGCAGAGATGTCCAACACTGCTAAATGGGCTGAGTCAGAGAACCAGATTAAAATGTAATTGGGAAACACTAAAAAAATAAAAATGCAATAGAACATAGATAATGTTATTATGTGTTTTCCAAGTCCACATAGGGCCTGCAGGGACTCGTATGTGTGGGTTAGTAGCCTCCTATTGAGTTTGATACCATGGACCAAAAGCATGGAGGAGAGGTGAAGGCAGCGTCGTACAAGGCCTTCCTACTTGTATTTATGTTGGTCTCAAGAAACACTGGGCTCCTTTCTGATTCTGTGACATTCTAGTCCCATCAGAACTGACCAAAGGGAAGACACTCCGGGACGCATGAGATGTTGGAGTGAGGAGATTCCTGGAGGCTTGGAACCAGTGGCCCAGGGAGAGGAAGTGAGGGAAGGCCAGGCTTGGAAATGGCTCTTAATCATGGCCCATGGCCAATTATGTCCACAGGTTCAGGGGAGGCAGCAAGGAGAAAGAAAAGTTTCAGGTTAGCCAAGTGACCCAGACTGCCCCTACTGAAATGTCTGATAGTACTTTTCCTTCAAGTTTTTTCCTTGAAGTTGACTATAATCCCCCCCATGAGAAAACTTCTCACTGTCTTTCCAGTATAAACCTTTAATGTGGAAGGGATAGTTCACCCCTGAGATACTTTGCTCTCTTCCTTTCATTAGCATTCATCTTGGGGAAAGGAGGAGGCAGGCTGTGGATCTCACAAGACAGAAAAAAAAAGGATTCGCTTGGCCAGAGTCAAAGTGGAAAAGTGATTCTCTGGCCTGGGAAAGGATTGAGGGGAATTTTGCTGACAGCTCCTAGGTGGTCTGAGGAAGATACTTCTGTATGCTTTGAAGGGCACTGGCCAGGGATTCGTTCCTGTGGCCCCGGCCTCTGCCACCAGGGCTAACTTTTAAGCTCTTAAGCCCCAAAGTACTTTAGTCAGGCAAAGAGACACAGAGAAAGATAGGCAGAGACAGACAGACAAAAACAAAGGCAAAGACAGAGAAACATAAAGACAGAGAAACATAAAGACAGAGGCAGAAACAGAGACAGAGGTAAGGGGAGAGGAAGAGAAGAGGAAACAGAAGGAAAGAGGGGGAGAAGAGAAAGGAAGGGGGGAGAAGAGAAAGGAAGAAGGGAGAAGGGGAAAGAAAGGAAGGGGAGAAAGGGCATAAAAGAGGAAGGAAGATAGGAGAAAATGGAAGAGTATAAAGAGAGGGAGAAAGGGAAAGATAAAGAGAGGAAGGGGAAGAAAGAAGAGGGAGAGGGAGGCAGAGGGAAAGGGAGAGGTAGTGGGAGGGAGAGGGAGAAGGAGAAAGAGAAATAGATATATTTTGGTGAGGAGGTAGTGTAAACATAGTCAGTTCAATCACCCTACCAAAGCCCAAAGCAGAAACTATTTTCCTTGGTTTCTCCCAACACTCATCTGGAATGCTTCCTAATAGACATCCCTGTGGTTCTGGGGCTCTGTGCTCAGCGGACTGGTTGTTAATGGCCCATCCCGCATCAGCTATACTTCTACCAAAGCCTGAACATGAAAGATTTCACTTCTGAAAAGGACTAACCTTGGTTTTCCTAATGCCTAAGTAACCTTGCTTATTACCACTTTCCCAAGGCAAGTTAGGATGTTGGTGCAGATAATAAGATTTAGTGTAAAATGTGATTAACCATACGATATTGATAATTTCAGATGAGGGAATGCAGTGCCTAACTCAGGGATGCTCATTTGTAAGGCCAGGTTATGATGAAGAGTATTCCAACCAAAGTCCTGCGTGTGGCCCTAAGGCTGTAATGAGGACCTCTTTTCCACGTGCTTCTGAAGGATAAGGCAGGGGGAAGGAATGAGGAGCCCACAGCACACTCACTCACCTTGAAGCGGCTGATCAGATCATAGCGGGTGAGTAATTCATAGAAAATGAATTTCAAGGCATGATCTCCACTGGCATCATTCAGTGTGAAGACATCAAAGGACCACTTGTCCACATCCTGCAAAAGGGGAAAGGAGACCGAGACAATGTTCTTAGCATCCTTCAGCCCCTTTCTGTCTTCCAATGCCTGCTCCCTGCAGCTCCTCCTCCCTTCACTGTGACTTTTGTCCCCCAGAAATGCTCACTCAGGATTCCACAGATGATTTGCCAGGGGCTCAAAGCCTGTGGACTCCTAAGCTAAGAATCATAGATTCTTCCTGTCTTGGCCAGTGAGCTCATAATCTCTGGCATCTCTACACTAAGTGTGTTCGCACAACAATTCTGCAAGAGGGAGTGACTGTCCCTAGCCTCATTTTACACGTGGGAAAGGTGAGGAATGGAAAGATGAAGAGATTCATAGCGAAAAAGAAGCAGAGGCAGGATGTGAACCCAAGATTTCCTGGCTCTAAGTCCAGGGCTCTATCCACTGGGCTGCCTCCTTTGATATCCAACTACCCAGGAAGAGAAAAGATCCCTCTGTGGCACTGCCATTATCACCACCACTGCCCCTACTACTAAATATCATCACATGATGCTATCCTCCCTAACACAGGGGAAAGAACTTTTGCTCAGGAGGAAGAGGACCCAAGTTCAAAATCTGTCCTCTGACATGAGTGTTGTGACCCTGGGCCTTGGTTTCCTCATTTGTAAAAGGAGGGGGTTTGGGCTAGATGGCCTCTTAGATTTCTTCCAAGTCTAAATCTGTGATCCTAGGATCCTAAAGGAGCAGGAATCTTGACTTATCATTTATCTTTGTAACCCCAATGTCTTAAATGTAATGGGCACTTAATTAATCAACAACAACAACAACAATAATAATAATAATAATAATAATAATAATAATAATAATAATAATAAATGTTTGTGGAATGAAGAAAATGTACCAAAAGCTGGGCAGTCACTTATCCACCCCTCATAGATCTCAGTATTTTAATTTTTTAGGACAGAGGCTCTTAGCCTTTCTTGGGTCACACATCCCTCAGTCTGGTGAAGCCTATGAGCCCCTTGTCCAAATAATATTCTTACATACATAAAATAAAACAACAAGGATTACAAGGAAAACCAGTCATGTTAAGATACAGTTAATAAAATACTTTAAAAATAAATTCAAGGACCTTGGGTTAAGAGCCCCTGGCCTAAGGCATTTGGGGTACATACCTTTAATTTTATCCACATAAGAAATTGCCAATGTAGAAACTCCCTATTATGATCCCCAGTACGACTCAACTTTGAAGGTATAGGACTAGTCCACTATAAGTTATCCTGATTGCCCAACCCCCCAAAAAGGAAAAAGGAAAGAGAATTAAAAAACCATTGAGAGATGAAAGAAAGCAGAAGCCTGGGTAATGAGATCCAGTGAAAGGATAGGAAAAAAGTGGAAAGAAGAGAATTAGAAAACCAAGAAAGACTTGGAATAGTGTGAAAAAATGTTTCATATTAAGTAAGGACACTCTAATGAGAGATAGCGTCAGGCATTAAATGATCCATTCCCTGAAATTACCTTTAATGCTTCAATCACAGCTGGTGGGTAGCTTAATCCAACCATGTTTGATGTCCGTCTGTACATTCTAGCAAAGTCAAGAGAAATAAAAAAAGCAATGTCACATCACACAAAGTGGAGAAAACAGACCCCAGGTCCCGAGCACTCTGCCTGAAGGATGACAAACGTGATGCATTGAGGAGTTTCTGGAAATTACTCTGTAGCTTCCAGAACCCAAAGGTCATTTCTATTTCTTTTACTCTCATTATCATATGTAGCCAGCTGGCCCACATTTTAAGATCAGTGGAAATTAAAGCAGACCCAAACACCTAGATCACGGAGCAGAAAAACAAAACCAATCTGCATGTTCTATGATGAGAATTAAAATGTTTAACAACCTCTCCTGACAGATGCCAGAGGTGCAACTAGCAATTTTGATGCCCGAGGCAATCTACATACAATATGCCCTCAAATCAATTTTTAATGAGAAATTCAATCAAGGTAGGGGGAAAAGATGTCAGGGTATCATTCATGATGGGAAAAGACAGAGACCCCAGGGCACCATGAAGGGAAATTAGATGGTGGAAGAAGCAGGATCAGGCTAAACTATGAAGGTACTCAACCAGAAAGTGGTTGCTAATGGAAAGAAAGCATTCTACCTGGTAGATGTCTAGTTCAATCAAAGATTCTTACTACACGCTAAGCCAATTCATTACTATGATATTGAAGGATTATAAGTCCTTTAAGTAGACTCTTTAATTTTTAGGGTGGAAGAACAATGCCTTATTTATTCCACCTTAGTTCTACGGCTTTGCCAGATACTAAATGTGACAGATAATGGACAGTGATGCTCTACCACACAGTGTGCCATTCCAAGTGGAAAGCTCCAGTGGAAGAACAATTTGGAAATTAATGTTCTCCAGAACCCTCAAAGAACCAGGTTAAAAATTCCCCCCTCAGTGAGCTAAGGGTCAATGAAGTGAATGTGGTATTTCAAAATAGAGAGTACGTGGTTCAGCAAGGAATATGGGACAGGTAAGGCTTTGGCACTTTTCATTGAAAAGGGCTCAAATTCAAAAAGGAAAACATCTTTTAAAAGATTTGGGTTCCCTATGCACATCAAACCTCACATGGGTACCATTTTGCTTGAATTGAGGGTCATTATGGCTTTCCCATCTTGGTCTCTTCCCCATTTTTCATTTATTCATCACTTATCCAAATTCTTTAAGAGGTAATGGGCTGAAATGCCTAATTTTTCTTTCTGTTAATGAGTTTATCTCCTCTTGGGCAAACATATAGAAGTCGGGATGGATACAAGTGGGTGAGGGGGAGCTGAACCCAGTGGCCACACGCCAGCCCTAGAGCAGGATCACCTTTCCTCTCAGGTTATTAGCTTCCCTTTTTAGTTGAAAATTAAGAACTTGATTCAGATTAAACTTTTTTTTTGTAATTCAAAGGACTCCAAGGGATGGATACCATCAAGAGGCCCAAATAGGTTCTATGGACAGCAGTAAATTAAAGATGACACATTTGTATGGCTCTTGATCGAATGAAATCTTTTACCCTAGGAACTCTATTCTGTTGCACTATTTACCTCTCCACAAAGATTCCAGCCTGCACAGCATGAACGATGCTTTTGAATCGGGGCTTCTCCTCACTCCGTCTCAGCATCATCCCCATCTGCCTGGTAAAGGTAGAGGCCAGCCAGTCCCGGACCTCGGAGGGCACGGCATCTGACTGGATATCACTGAGCTCATCTTCTGTATCCAGGAGTCGCCTAGGGGAAGGGAAAAGGAACAAGAAGTGAACTATAGGCCTAGAGCCAGAAGGGTGCCCAACAGTCACCCACCCCAACCCCAGCTTTACAGATGGTATAACTGAGTCCAGAGAGGTCAGGGACTCATAGGATCATAGATCTGGAGCTAAAAGAGCTTTCAAAGATCATCTAGACCAATGTGCTCCTTTTACAGATGAAGATACAGAGACTCAGACAGGGAAAGTGACTTGCCATTTTACTGATAAGGAAACTGAGGCCCAGGGAGTTTAAGGGACTTGCCCTAAGTCACCAAAGAAGTAATTGTCAGCATCAGGATTTGAACTCGGATTATCTGACTCCAGAGCCAGGGTTCTCTCCACTACATGTATTTTGCGTTTGCTTATCTGGGTACATCTTACAGAGTGTAAGCACATTGAGAGCAGGCACTAGCTTATTTTTGTCTTTACATCATAGGACCATGTCCTTGAAGTGCTGAGTATGCTCTAAGACTAAAAGTTGCAGAGGAGGTACCAAAGCACACGCCTACTTCAGATGAGGGAGTTTCTCTCCTGAGATTTCCCTATAGCAATGAGATCAAAGGCCCAGGATCTATTCTGTATCTTTTCATAGGATCAGAGGTTAAGAACTGGAAGGAACTTTGGTATCCATTGAATCCAAACCTCATCCCACTCCCATTTTGCAGTTGAGGAAAATGAGGCCCAGAGAGGTGTGGTGACTAAAACATATTTGAGGCAGAAATTGAAGCCAAGGTGTCCCAGCCAAGTCTAATGCCCTATCCACTACTCCATGCTGCCTAACATCAGGCACATGACAGGTGTTTAATAAATGCTTATGGAACTGAACTGAATTGGACTCAGCTATGACTGGAGTTACCCGTGGGCAGGGAAGCCATGAACCACACGAGCCTTAAGTAAAAGCAGAATTCATGCAGATTGGCATCTGGCAGCTACGTAAACCTCACTAGTGCTGATTAACTGGGGAGGGACAGCAAAATTAGGCAAAAGTCTTAACCAGCACATTTGAAAAGAAATGTGATTTTATCCCTCTAAATTACATACAGTCGTCAGAATGGCTTTAATGCCCACATTAGAATGATTTCTATTTAGTATAGAAATGCAAAGCATGAGGCTGGCAAAGGCCAGCCTCTGCTTACACTGTAATTATACTGTTTCTAAGGAAATCGAGACTTCTAGAGGGGTGGAAAGCAGCTCGCTCCCCACAGTGGGCAAGCACACCCCCCCATTCAGTCTTGCTTCCATGCTCAATGTTCTCAGCATCCACTTTGCTCAGAGACAGTGCAAAAAGAAGATCTTCACCTTTCTGAATGAGCAACATTTCCAAGTTAAAGAATGAAGTTTACTAGAGACGAAATTGCTTCCCAGGGCCATCTGAAATAAGTCCGATAACAGTCACCAAACTTTATACAATGAATTCAAGATTCTTCAAGTTTGCAGAGCACTTCACCAACATTGTCTCATCCTTTCTGCTAATGTGTTTGTCTCGTCTTAGGCAAACATATAGAAGCTGGGATGGATACGAGTGGGCAAGGGAGAGCTGAACCCAGTGGCCACATGCCATCCCTGGAGCAGAATCACCTTTCCTCTCAAGTTGTGAGCTCCCGTCTTCTTGCTTGCCTCCAACAGTCCTGTAAGGCAGGTGCTACAGCTACTATTATTTCCATTTTACAGATGAGGAAACCCAGGTTGAGATAGATAAAGGGCTCTGCTCCTGGTCACACAGATAGTAAGTACTAAAGTAGGATTTGAACCCAGGTCTTCCAGACTTCAAGCCCAAGCTTCTCTTCCACAGTTTACAATATAAAAACTCCCCAGAAAGACTCTGAATCAACCTATGGAAATCTCCCTAGGACAGGATAGCATATTCTTACCTTGTTTCATCGATGTAGACAGATTCAAGGACCGATGCTGCATGTTCCAAATTCTTCTTGAGGTCGACTACAGAAGCCTCCCCTCTTTCTAGTTGTTTTACCAAAGACCGCAACCTAAGAAGAAAAAAAGGAGCAAAGAGATTCAGTGAGTACAGAAAATGCCAATGGCCAATATCAATTTAAAGATTAGTTCTCAAGAATTTGCCAAACATGCAATTGCCACTGGAAATACACCACAAAAAGAAGATTTCTTTCCTGCAAAGCACTTTCTTCAGCATAATCCAGTGGCGAGGAGAGTGTGGTTATTAGCTTTATTTTACAGACAAAGAAACTGAGGCTCTGAGCATTGACGTGACTTGCCCAAGGTCACATAATGAATGAAGACAGTATTTCAGATTAAAACACAATTTGCCTGATGCCAAGTCCTGGCCTCTTTCCACCTCTGTGACTTTGAGAAGGTCAGACTGCCTCTACTTCCCAAGACGCTTCTGACTTACATCTGAAGTGAATCATGGAATCCTAGATTCTGAGAGTTAGAAGGGAAAGCTCAGAGGGCCTTTCCTATAACAGGACTATCACCTCCTTATTCCTGGTAGCTGAAGGTATCCTTAGAGAAATCTCTCAAAATTCATCCCAAGACTATTAGCTGTTTGGGCTGTGACATGATGCTGCTGATAATATTATACTGCTGAGCTTGTGGTCCATTAAAATCCCCAGATCTTTTATCAGAGAACTAGACAAAGCTAGCATTATCAATACTTACTGAGTACTCACTATGTGTAAGAACCACTTTTTCCTACCAATAACTTACATTCATATTGCTTTAAGGATGTTAAGCACTTTCCTCACCACAACCTGCAAAGTAGTCACTGGAAGTAGTGTGATCTCTATTTTGGGTCTTCATACTTTAATGACTTGCCCAGGGTCACACATAGTATCTGAGACAATATTCAATTTCATTATCTTCCTGACTCCAAATCGCGCACTCTGTCCATTATAATAAGTAGCCTTCCCAAGAAAATAAACTGCATCTTCACAGCATCTGACCCCAAGGAACTTCTGAGCTTTGAGGGAAGACAGGTCATATATGATTATATCAAACAACAAAGAAGAATAAGAGACAATTGACAGTGACAAGCAAGATAAATAAATGTATTAAAACTTCATTTGCCTATTGCACCATGACCCAAAGCCCCATCAATATTTCTTTGTTTTTTTTTCTAAAAGAACAAGCCCACTTTATTTTCAACACTATTTTCTAATCAGCATCCATGGAGCCAAAAGTAAAAAAAAAAAAAAGTAGCCTGCTAGCCTGCTAGACCAGTGAACCTGCTATTTCAGTAAACTCTAAATCAAACAAGTAAATAGCATAATCTGTCCTGGTAAGTCCTCTGAAGACCAAATCTTCTTAAGAACTTAAGGAAATGGGGTTGTTCTCAGGAATTCTAATCATGCTTTCTGAATGACTCCTGAAGAAGAAAGAAGGGAGAGAAGGAGGAAGTGAAGAAACATCCTACTTAAAATTAAGGGCAAGTTATAGAGAAAGGAGAGAAGAAAATTGAAAATTGAATAATTGAAAGGCTGACAAAATATGTAAGCAGAAAGGAGGCCTCAATAATGTGAGTGAATACTAAATGGCAAAAGAAAGTGAAGAGAAATATGCCAAAAGAATGAGATTGGACGATCATAATTAGACCCCCAGAACAGAAAATGGATACATTGCAACAATACTAAGGGCGCATTAGAATCTCAATAAGAGATACAAAGGAAGATCTTGCATCTATAAGAATGGAAATAAAAAAATTAAATAAATAAAATTTTAAAAAATGGAAATAAGATTATCAATGGAAATATTTAAGAAGAAAATTAGAATAAATAGCTTAAAAAGGGAAGGGAACATCTTAATAAATCAATGTACTATGTAAAGAACAGAGTCCACAAAAATACTGGCATAGAATAATAAGTAACAGAGTAATTTTTTAGTTTGCAAATGAAATGGGATATCAGATCTCTACAAATCAAAACTAGAGACAGGGAACAGTGCTTGACAAGACAATCAGAAAATTATTAGTCTCCTGGAAAATCATGAAGAAACAAAGTCTGATGTTATGTTAAAATCGTACAGCAAAACTGCTCAGAGGTATTAAAAATAGTGAGGGGGGAGGGTGGTGGTGAGATATATATACATATACATATATATATATATATAAATGTGTACACACACACACACACACACACACACACACATATACACATATAGAGAGTGAGTGATTGAGTCCATAAGACACCAACAAAGAGGAACTCTAAATTTGAGACATCCAAAAATATATTCATCATGTTTCAAAGTTTCAGTGTGGAGAAAGAGACCATTAAAAGCAGCCAGGAAGAAACAATCCATATATTGAAAAGCATCAATTGACATTACACGATAGTATTCAACAACAGCAACAGTATATGAAAGACGAAATGATACAGGGTCACTGAAAAGCAAGAAAAATCAATGTATACCACAAACTGCTAATCCTAAAAAGTTGAGAATACATCACAAGAAAAGATGGTTCTTTAATAATGTTGATAAATTTTATTCTTTCTTTCTAAAAAATCCAGAGTCGGACAGGGATTGCCCTAACAGCACAGACGTAACAAATTCCTAGGATTATAGATTTAGAGCCCCTTATTTTTACAGATGAAATAACTGAAGTTAAATGACTTGCTCAAGTCACACAAGTAACCAATGGCAGAGCCATAACTGGAAACCATGTTTCCTTCATCTAAATCTACTGTTCTTTCCACTGAACCACTCTGACTCCTAAACAAGGCTGTGGCATAATCAATGAGGAATCAATGAATAGATGTTAGCATGCTGTTAAGTCTGTTGTTGCTTGGACATCCTAGCTTCAATCAGGGTCACTAAAGGAACCAAAGTTAGGAATTTGACAGGGCAATATCCCTCAGAAAAGGAAAAGACAAAAATAGAAAGACTAGAAGACTGAAAGGAAGGTAAAAGGGGGAGAATGAGCTATTATTTTCTGAAATCAACCAGTACATGTGAAGATCAGTCAAAGACAAAAGTAGGAAATAGAGATGGAAAGGTGAAACTTCATTCTTCTCTGGTCTAAGATGGAAAGGCTTTTTAAAAGGTCGTGTAAGCAAAAGTTAATAGAAATAAGATTAGGAGCCATTCTCCGACAGATAAATTTTCTAAAAAAAAACAAAAACAAAAACAAAACACCTAAAATTAACAGTAACCATTGGGAGCTCAAGAAGGAGGTGGAAATGCTCCAAACTGTTAATAATCAGAGAATAATCAGAACTGTTAATAATCAAATAACCCGCCTCTGCCACATCACTTCCCATACATCAAAGTGGCAAAGATGGAAAAAGTTCAACATGGACGGGGGCTATGAGAACACAGGCATGTTAAGCCACTGCAGATGGAACTATGATATTGTCTGCCTTCAATGGAAAACAACTGGAGATTGGGCAGGGAAAGTGATTACACCATTCATATACTTTGACCCAAAGATCACACTAATGGGTTTATAGACCAAAGAGGTTGACGGCCAAAAAAACCCAAAAAACCTAGCTGTATGAAGGGATGAATTTTGGGGGTTCCCCAATCAGAAATAAAGACAACACCAATGAAAAATAAGCAGTGGTAAGATTAATTATGCAACTTTTATCTTTGTTTATCATACAAATAAAATGGAGCTGCTACCAAAAAGCTAAATTATACATGCTGTAGGGCAGGCCAACAAATACTTTTCAAAAACCATTATGCCAACAAAAATTGTTATTAAGTCCATGAAAATGGAATTGGTCCATCTCCATTTAATCAGTGCCTTCCTCCCTAACCCCCTCTACTTCTTTCCATGGCTCTCCCTAAGCCTAGGCAAAATGGAAGATAACTGTTGAGTATACTAAGTGCACAAGCAATTGTCTATTAGCAAATATATCAGCCACCACCCACACCCCCATCAACAGAGCAAAAAGGGAATTAGAAGGAAAGGCTAATTAAAATCTCTTGGTTACCAAAGTACAGAATAACAACTGAATTTTGCTGTTGTAGTTTATACTCAGCCTTCCTCTATCAATAATCTTGTACAATTCTCAGGTATTTTCTCATCACTGTTATTGGATTCCCAATGGAATGCAAATAAATTTGAATATTAGCCTACAGAAAACATAATCATGAAAGGAAATCCTCATAAGAAAAACAACTCTTATTGAATTTCAAATACAAATAGCTTTTATTATCTTCTATTACGGATTTACTTTGCCAGTGTTCCAGTCCATTGGCATGGATAGTTGAGAGCTGAGTGAATATTCAACTTCTATTAATACTACTGATTTTATTTTCCTGCATTCAATCTAGTCATCAATTGTGTAATCAATCCACAGTCTTTTATTAAGTGTTTAATATGCTGTAGTATATTAGTAAGTGCTGAAGATACTGAGAAAATAGTCCTTACCCTCAATGAGTTTGCGTTCTAACGGGGTAGAGAATATGCCCAGAAATCAATACATACAAGATATGTTTGGAGTAGATGGAAGGCGACTTTAGAAAAGAAGGCATTAGCAGCTGGGGGACTAGGAAAGGCCTCCTATAGAAGGTGATGTTTGAGTTGAGTGTTAAAGCCAAAAATTCTAAGATCCAGGGACTAGAAAAAAGCACATTTTACATGTTGGGGGCACAAGTGGGGTAGCCAGTGCAAAGAAATAGAGATAGGAGATGGAACATTGTATGTGAGGAAAAGAAAGTAAAGCAGTATAACTAGACCTCAGAGTGCCAGGAGGGTGTAAGAAGACTATGTAATGTGTAAGAATACTGAAAAGCTAGGAAAGCTGCTAGGCTAGGGTGATCGACACTCCTGTTTTTGTCTTCATCCTCTGTGTTTTCAAGAGCTAGTGCCCCAGAGCAGCAGAGCTGTAAACCTCCCCTTTCTACGGTACATCAGTCATATCCTAGTTCCATCAATGTTCAAAGGGTTTTCTATGTAGATCCCAGGCCAAGACTGATGAATGACATAACAAAACACCTTCACTTGGTTAAAAGTAAATAGTTACACAAAAAGCAGGACATTCCATTTTTCCTAGTCAAATGATCATCATAA